GCGCCACAAATCCAACTGAATGGTGTAACGTTGGAAAATGTCGGTCACTTCTCCTAAATGGACAGTTATCTTTCCACATGAGCTGACACTGATGCCAAAATCCAGCATCGCCTGAGCTCTGTGAGTGCAGCTTTCTCCTGATTGAAGTGTTTGAGGACCGGGACATTTGCAGGGAAACCAGAATGCTTGTTTACAAAGCTATTGCACTACCAACCTTACTGTGTGCTTGTGAAACGTGGACCACTTATAAACGCCATCTCCAACTCCTCAAAAGATTCCATCAACGGTGTCTCCAAAAATTTTTACACATCACTTGGGAAGATAGGCAAACTAATGCCAGTGTACTGGAAGAAGCAAAGATCACCAGTGTCGAAGCGATGATTCTTCAACATCAACTTCGTTGGACTGGTTATATTGTGCGGATGCCTGATGATCGTCTTCCAAAGCAACTACTCTATTCTGAACTTAAAAATGGAAAGCGTAATGCTGGTGGTCAACAAAAGAGGTTTAAAGACTCCCTCCCTCAAGGCAAATCTAAGAAAATGTAGTATTAACACTGACAACTGGGAAACACTGGCCTGCGAGTGCAACAATTGGAGAACAGCCTTTACCAAAGGTGTCGTGGGCTTTGAAGACGCTCGAACTCAGGACAAAAGGGAGAAATGTGCTAAGAGGAAGTCACGCTTGGCAAACCCTCACCGTGATCAACTCCCGCCTGGAAACCTATGTCCCCACTGTGGAAGGACGTGTGGATCCAGAACTGGCCTCCACAGTCACTTTTGGACTCACTGTTAAGACCATGTTCATGGAATACAATCTTATTTGGCTACGAGTGATCGTCAAAGAAAAAAGAAGCAGCCGCAATGAGAAGCATGTGAGAAGGAACACCTTAATAGGGCTAATGCCTGATCTTAATCCCATTAAAGCCGTAAACAGAGACTTCCGTATAGATTCTCTTTAGCATCTCACTCCGCCTCTTAGGGGCACTTACAAGCTTTGAAAGGGAAAGGCTGTTGCTGAAACCTCAGCGGATCATATTCGACTGTGGTATTTGCATCCACAGGAAAGCAAATTATCTCCTGGATCCGTTCCCAGGCCCTCTGCTATGTCAATAACTTTCCCTCAATTGCCTTTCACTTAAAATGAAAATGGCATGAATAAGAGGCTGGAATCCCTCTTGACAGGGATTTGTTGGGGGCTCTTCCCCAACCCAGACGAGGCTATTTCCAATAATCGCTATGCTATTTTAGAAGACGGCTAAAAACCGTTCAGAGGAGCACTCACAGTGAGTAATGCCGCTCATTGATCAAAGGACATTTCACATACACTTATAGACTGTCCAGTTTTTTTCCTGCATTCTGATCAGTGAAAAGCAGCTTAGAATGGTTTTTGGCATATGAAGTCAGAATGAATTTGACTCTACATACCTCCTATGGGCTTGGCGTGGGTCTGCTACATCCTTTCATCTTAAGTCTTCTTTTCTCATTCATTGAGTTAGAGGGCTTTCAGTGTAGAAAGATCCTGGCAATCGTCTAGCCCGGTTTTCCCCAGACTATGAGCCCAATGCAAGCTAGTAAGCTGAACGAGAAAAATTTAGTGGCATAAATGCTCCCAAAGAGCTCAAGGAAGCCATCTGCAAAAGGAGACTTGGGGCAGATCCACACTTTACATTTAAAGCTCATTCAATGCACATTTCAACCACATATTATTATTAGTAGTAGTAGTAGTAGTAGTATACTGCCCTATACCCACAGTCTCAGGGTTGTTACAACATAAAATCACAATATAAAAAGACAAAATATATAATAAAAATAAAAACGATAACACCCCCCCAACACATTTTTAAAGGGCATTGGATGTCATTCAGCCAAAGGCCTAGTTAAAGAGGAATGTTTTTGCCAGGCGCCTAAAGATGTCCAATGAAGGCGCCAGGTGAACCTCCTAGGCATTCCGCAAATGGGGAGCCACTGCAGAAAAGGCCCTGTTCTCGTGCTGCCACCCTCCAGACCTCTTGTGGAGGAGGCACATGAAGAAGGGCCTCAGAAGATGTTTTCAGGGTCAGGGTAGGTTCATATGGAAAGCACATGATTCCAGAAAGAGAGAGAGAGAGGGTTTTTTGAGTGTGCTGGGGAGAGTAGCCTTATAGGGCTAAATTGCAGCTCCCAGGATTCTTTGGAAGGAAATCACATGATTGAAACGTAGATTGAATATGCTTTAAATATACAGTGTGGATCTGCCCTGGGTCTACTGTATATATATTGTCACAGTTCACTCCTCTGGCTTGTCTCTTCTCAATTAGCATTAGCGAGGGATGAGTAATGATGCAGAAGGTCCGAATGGCATGACTGGATTATGCAAGGATTTCTGTCCTCAGAGGATGATACCCACTACCTATCAGCACAAGTCATTTCACTAGGCTTGCCTCCTTCTAAGCAGGAAGGAGGAGGATGGGTGTTACAAACCAGAAGCGAGTGACACAGTGACACATCAGTTGCCACCCTCCTATGTGAGCAAGCCCTAATGGGCTTAGCCTGGTTGCTCTGACAGTGCCAGATAGCAGCAGTGCCCTGATTAGCACTGGGACATCCTAGAGTGTTAGTACCTACAATGCCCCAGTGGGAAATTTAAATGGTTGCAGTGACATAGCGTGGTTTGCCAGCACCCCGGGGCAAGGCAAGTATGACGCCACCTCTGCAGCGATGAGGTTTCCTTCATAGTCGAACCCCTGTAATTTAAAATCACCTTCCTGTTGTTTGTAAAAAATCTGTGCATTTAATTCAGCATTGTTAAGTCATGAAAAAACTGAAGAAACCCACAAACCCACAAACCCACGCACAAACTTGCTATGCCACATGCCAACTGGGACAAGGTCTAGGCTGGCTTAGTTAACGGACCCCATTATGTAGGGGGAGTAAGATTCCAAGCAGGAAAGCGAAAGCTGAACAAGCCCACCTCACCGGATAGCGGTTGACGGTTGTATCAAGCGTCACGTCTCAAGGGCTGCCACAAAGGCCCAGACAAGAAGAACGTATTGGGATTGGTAAACCGGGGGACCAAATCAGAATGCATCTTGCAAAACATGAAACTGAGCTAGTTCTTGAACACTCATCTGTTACTCAAAGCCGTTCCACTTCCTTGTTGCATCTTGCGTGTTGTCAGTTCCTCAACAGTCTGCATCAGGGTGGCAAACGGGGTGGCGTCAAATTTAGCAATGCTCTTTGGCGGATTCTAAATTTAATGGACAGGGAAGTGGGAGAATTTGTCACCGACCTACACTGCGCCCTCTGAGGCACGGTGTCTCTTTCCCAGCCTTGAAATAAGATGTAGCTGAATTTGGCTGGCTTTTATACGGGTTCTTTTATATGGGTTCCTGATTCTTTCCACCCTATAATCCGCAGCAATCCCTGGGTGTCTGGATGAGTTTCAGCTTGTTGTAGCCCAGGCATAGGCAAACTTTGGCCCTCCAGATATTTTGGACTACAATTCCCATCATCCCTGACCACTGGTCTTGTTAGCTAGGGATCATGGGAGTTGTAGGCCAAAAATATCTGGAGGGCCGATGGTTGCCCATGCCTAGCCAATGCATGTTCTAGCCTTATCCTGACTTGAAATTTTTTGTATGTTTTGAATCATGACTGTATGATGATGATGATGATGATGATGATGATTTTATTATCTTTTCCCCCTCGTCTGCTAAACCACTTGGAGGTTGTTGTCATTTTTCTACAATCAAGAGGCATATAAATGTTTCAGGGGAAACAAACAAACAAACAACCAAACAAACAATAAAATAAAATAGTTGCCCTCTCCTTAAAGGTAAAGGTAAAGGGACCACTGACCATTAGGTCCAGTCGCAGACGACTCTGGGGTTGTGGCGCTCATCTTGCTTTATTGACCGAGGGAGCCAGCGTACAGCTTCCGGGTCATGTGGCCAGCATGACTAAGCCACTTTTCTCCTTACTGTGTTTTAATTTGTTGGAAGCTGCCCACAGTGGCTGGGGTAACCCAGTCAGATGGGTGAAAATAAATATATTGTCATTATGTTTAGCTATTTATTTATCCTTGGGTCTACAATAAAGAGGCATATAAATGTTTTAGGGAAAACAAACAAACAAAAACTAAACTAAACTAAAATAGTTGCCCTCTCCTTTTCTCCTTAAAAGGTAAAGGGACCCCTGACCGTTAGGTCCAGTGGCTGACTCTGGGGTTGCGGCGCTCCTCTCGCTTTATTGGTCGAGGGAGCCGGCGTACAGCTTTCGGGTCATGTGGCCAGCATGACTAAGCCGCTTTTCTCCTTACTGTGTTTTAATTTGTTGGAAGCTGCCCAGAATGGCTGGGGTAACCCAGTCAGATGGGTGAAAATAAATATATTGTCATTATGTTTATCTATTTCTTTATCCTTGGGTCTACAATCAAGAAGCATATAAATGTTTTAGGGAAAACAGACAAACAGACAAACAATAATAAAATAAAATAAATAAAATAAAAAGTTGCCCTCTCCTTTTCTCCTTATTATGTTTTAATTTGTTGGAAGCCGCCCAGAGTGGCTGAGGTAACCCAGTCAGATGGGTGACATATAAATAATAAATATATTGTCATTATTTATTTATTTATTTATTATTTTTCCTTGCATCTGCTGGCGCACTCGCCTTCCTTGGAGTTTTTTAAGAAGAGCTTGGCTGGCCACCTGTCCTGGATGCTCCAGTTGAGAACGCTGCCACTTCAGGGGGTTGGTCTAGATGACCCTTGGGTGTCCCCTTCCACGTCGGGCGAAGATTCCCCCCAACCCCCACCCCGAGACTCGCCTTCCTCCTCCCTCTTCTTCCTCCTCCTCCTCCGGCCGTCGAACAACCAAAGGGAAGAAGAAGAAGAAGTGAGGGCAACTCCGGTTGAGGGCAAGAGGCTTCACCGGCGGCCGCTGGGCTTGCGCGAACTCACCTCCCCCCCCCTCCCTTCTCCCCCACACCCCCCCTCCCTCGCCGCCGCTACCCACGCGCATGCTCCGTGGGATGGGACCTGCGAAAATTCTGAAGGATAACAGATTCTAAAATGCCAGGCTGGGCAGAGGCGCGCGCGCAGGCGGACTGAGCGGCGGCGGCGGCGGCGCCAGGCAGCCTCGCCATCCTCTCCGGGCCGCGCCAGCGAGCGAGGGCCGCCCTCCGTCAGCCGCGATGCCGCTCGGGCGGAGGCAGCTGCCGGAGCCCCGCTGAAGGGGACCGCAGCCACCATGGGCGAGAGGTCCCCGCCTCCGGCCGGCCGGCGGACCCGGCTGGTCTCCTCGCTGGTGCTGGGGCAGCGCGCCTGCGAGGTCGCCCTGGACCCGGAGAGAGGCGCCTTGGAGTGGACGGAGCAGCCGCAGCCGCGCGGGGGGAGAGGTGAGGTCGCTTGGAGGGGGGGCGAGGGGGCTCCGAGCCATGTGCAGAGTGCCGCTGCCAGCCCACCACCAGCTCGGAACTGCCACTTTCCCCCTTAGGGAAACAACAACAACAAAAGGAACCTCGGTGTTTTTCAGGGTTCCGAGCCATGTGCAGAGTGCCGCTCTCTCCCTCCCGGTGCTCAAGACACTGCCGTTTCCCGTGGTGGTGGTGCTGCTTTCGGAATCAGGGCTCCGGGCCATGTGCAGAGTGCCGCCGCCGCCTCCCTCCTCGCCTCCAAGACGCTGCCGCTTTCCTCTCCCCTTTTCAAGTTAAGGCGTGGTGGTGGTGGTGGCGCTTTCGGGATCAGGGCTCCGGGCCATGTGCAGAGTGTCGCTGCCAGTCCACCACCAGCTAGGAACTGCCACTTTCCCCCTTAGGGCAACAACAACAACAAAAAGAACCTCGGGTGTTTTTCAGGGCTCCGAGCCATGTGCAGAGTGTCACTCACCCCCACCCCCACCACTAAGGAGCTGCCACTTCTCCCTTAGGTAAAACAACAACAAGGGGGACTTTCAGAGGAACTTCTGGGCCCTCCCAGTTTTCATCCTTTTCAAGTTAAACAATGGTTGTTGTTCTGATGTTTCTGGAGTTAGGGTTCTGAGCCATGTGCAGAGTGCCGCTGCCAGCCCACCACCAGCTAGGAACTGCCACTTTCCCCCTTGGGGCAACAACAACAGAAAGAACCTCGGGTGTTTTTCAGGGTTCTGAGCCATATGTAGAGTGCTGCTCTCTGCCTCCCGGTGCTCAAGACACTGCAGGTTCCCCTCTTTTCAAGTCAAGCCGTGGTGGTGGTGGAGCTTTCGGAATCAGGGCTCCGGGCCATGTGCAGAGTGTCGCCCCCTCCCTCCCCACCTCCAGGACACTGCCACTTCTCCCTTAGGTAAAAAAAACCAAGGGTGACTTTCAGAGGAATTTCTGGGCCCTCCCAGTTTTCACCCCTTTTCAAGTTAAACAATGGTGGTTGTTGTGATGTTTTTGGAGTTAGGGTTCTGAGCCACGTGCAGAGTGCCACCCCTTCCTCCCCACCAGCACTACCAAGGGATTGCCACTTTCCCCCTTAGGTAAAAAAACAACAACTCCGTTGACTTTCAAAAGGACTTCTGGGCCTTCCCAGTTAAACACTGGTTGTTGTTGAATATGGTTGTTAAGTTGTTGTTGTTTTAAATTACATTTATACCCTGCCTCTGTCCTGCCAGGCGCTGGGTTGGCTTCAGTTGGGCAAGGTGCTGCCTCCAAAAACCACAACCCAAAAGGCAATCGCTTTGTGTCCTCCAACGTTGTTGGATTACAACCTCCCAACCTTCCTACCCAGTGTGGCCAGGGATGATGGGAGTTGTAGTCCATGAACATCTGGAGGGCCCAAGGCTGGGCAAGACTTTGAAGGCCGTTGGGGAGCGCTGAGGATGGTTGGGAGCAGGGCAAGGGCTTCAGATGGCCTATTGTCACAACCCAGGACTGGTCGTTGTGCAAATATATGGGGGAAATATTAAGAAATCCCCATATGCTTGGTTCACAAGTAGGATCCCAGGTCTGAAGGCTACTGCCATAGAGCATCGAGAAACAGCTTTGGTTCGAACCGGTTTGAAACACTGTGCACCAGCTTTGCTGATCCTGCATCACTTAAAAACTTTGCTTAGGGGTATTGCCAATACAGATACCTCTGAAAAATGGTTGAGCTACTTAACTCATATAGAGCCATCTTATTTGGTGGCCCGTGATAATCAGCATCAGGCAAGGCCGGCCCAAGATATTTTGCCACTTGAGGCGAGCCACAAAATGGCACTCCCCTCCCTGCCAGGGAGATTGCCAGGGAAGATTGACATCAGGTAGTGATGAGTGAAGATTGACATCAGGAACAAGGGGGGAATAAAGATCTACTTTGGGATCTGCTGCCCCTGGGGATCTTGTCGCCTGAGGCAGTCTTCTTGCCTCACCTTGCCTCACGGCTGGGCTGCCCTGACATAAGGGCACCACTACCACTGCCCAGTTCAGACATCTCTTGAAATTGGGGCATGAATTCTCCCAAGCTGTTATTATTCAGGGGCCCATGCAAGAAACTTCGTTCTCTTCTCATTAGTGTTTGCATCATCTGTCAGCATCTCAGCCTGAGAGGTTCCACATTCCTGTTTAATATTTGCTAGTCAGATATGCGGGGAGGAGAGTCTGTGTGAATGAAAGGTGTGCTGACGACGTCACTGGTTCTGAAAACTGCTACTACAAGTTCAGTGGCTGGCAACAGCTCCCAAGCCTTCTAAGAAAGCCACATGCTTCGTTTTATTTTTTGCCGTTGGCTATGTTTGTATGTTAAATATTTGTAAAGTCTTAGCAGTTTTATTTTTTAAGAGTGAACACAGAGATTTGCACTGCTACGTACAGGGTATTTGGACAATGGCTAGTAAAAGTTCTTTTACGATTGTCAGTCTTAAGCAGTTAATTGTCCCTGTTTGCCCATTACAGTAGGTCAACTTTTTAAAAAAATGGCCTGGCCTAGTTCAGTGTCAGTTCTACATGCTGCACATCAGAACTGTAGTCTGTTGAGAGCCTGTTTGCACAATACAGTTTTTGACCACACAATAAATACAGTTTTTGACCTGGCGTATGTTCTTATGTACAAATTTGTTTAAACCAGGCATTCGTTCTCAGTACGTTTCCGAGCACAATTCAAAGTGTTGGTGCTGACCTTTAAAGCCCTAAACGGCCTCGGTCCTGTATACCTGAAGGAGTGTCTCCATCTCCATCGTTCTGCCCGGACACTGAGATACAGTGCTGAGGGCCTTCTGGTGGTCCCCTCACTATGTGAAGCCAAGTTACAGGGAACCAGGCAGAGGGCCTTCTCGGTAGTGGCACCCACCCTGTGGAACGCCCTCCCACCAGATGTCAAAGAGAAGAATAACTACAAAACTTTTAGAAGGCATCTGAAGGCAGCCCTGTTTAGGGAAGCTTTTAATGTTTAATAGGTTATTGTACTTTAGTGTTCTGTTGGAAGCCGCCCTGAGTGGCTGGGGAAACCCGGCCAGATGGGTGGGGCATAAATAATAAATTATTATTATTATTACTATTATTATTATAAGCACCCCAGCATCTAGATCAGCGACAAGGAACCTGTGGTCCTCAAGACATTGCTGGACCTCAGCTGACCTCAGCTCCAGCAACATGGCCAATGGGCACGGATGATGGGACTTGTAGTCCAACAATATATGGAGAGCACAGGAGCCTTCTCCTCAGTTCCTTCCTTCTAATCTCATCTACTATTTTCACCCTTGGCCTTAACTCTGAACTCAGATCAAGCAGCGGATCTTGCAGTTAAACTGCAGTTAAACTGGACATACCCATTGAGTTAAACAGGCCTTACTCCTGGGTAAGTGTATATCAGGCTGTTCCCTAACTCTCTTGCAGTGCACTGTGGACAGATCTGGGCCATCCTTTCAGGGTGACTCAGGTATGTTTGTTCTGCAAGGGCACGCACAGCAATAATCCATTTAAAGTCGCACACCCTCAGTCTTAGCCATGCCAGCCATTGCACCGTCTCTCTTCCTGTCATCCCAGAAGTTCAGGAGCAGCTTGCAGGAAGGGCTGGCAGTGGTGCCTTTCTAGATTACGATACACAAGGCAGTTTACAACAACAAAATATAACCTGGCCTCCCAGCACTGCCTCAGTTTACAGCCAGATGGGTGGGGTATAAATAATAAATTATTATTATTATTATTATTATTATTATTATTACTATCACAGCTCTCTTTTCGGGGCTTCTGGCTTCATAACAACCTCTCTTTCTTCTGTGCTGCAGTTAGACCAGGCTTCCTCAACCTCGGCCCTCCAGATGTTTTGAGGCTACAATTCCCATCATCCCTGACCACTGGCCCTGCTAGCTAGGGATCATGGGAGTTGTAGTCCCAAAACATCTGGAGGGCCGAGGCTGAGGAAGCCTGAGTTAGACCCAAGTCAATGTGTTCTTCGTCTCTGCCATGAGCAGAGCCTTTCCTGCTACAGCCCCAAAGCTATGGACACACCTTTCTGGGCGGGGGGGGGGGGAGAGTCTGAGCAGCTGCTTCCTTTTCACAGCAAAAACACATTTGCTTCGATCGGTCTTTGGGTATTAATCACTCCTCTGCCCTGTTTTACTGCTTCACTATTTTCCAGTTTTGTATTCTAGTACAGTGGTACCTCGGTTTACGAACTTAATCCGTTCCGGAAGCCTGTTCTTAAACCAAAGCATTCTTAAACCGAGGCAGGCTTTCCTTACTGAGGCCTCCCGCCGCCAGTGCCCTTCCACCGTTTGGCTTCCGAGGCAAAGTTTGCTAACTGGAACACCTACTTCCAGTTTTGCAGAGTTCGTTTGCCAAATAGTTCGTGAACAGGGCTGTTTGTAGACACAGGTACCGCTGTATTGTTATTGTTTTAGGACCCTCATACCTACGGGACCGCCTCTCCTGGTATGTCCCACGGAGGACCTTACGATCTTCAAACAAAAACACCTTGGAGGTCCTGGGCCACAGGGAGGTTAGGCTGGCCTCAACCAGAGCCAGGGCTTTTTCGGCTGTGGCCCCGATCTGGTGGAACGCTCTGTCACAAGAGACTAGGGCCCTGCGGGACATGACATCTTTCCGCAGGGCCTGCAAAACAGAGCTGTTCCACCAGGCCTTTGGCCAAGGCACAGTTTGACCCCCTCCTTCTGTAATCTTCATGGAACTCTAACCCAATGGTTGCCATTAATTTGATTCTGAATTAATTTTAGAATGAATTGATTTTAGAATGTATTTCAATGAATTGATTGTGATTTTATGTAAACTGTGTTACTTTTACTGTTGTTAGCTGCTCTGAGCACGGCTTCGGGTGGGGAGGGCGGGATATAAATTATTTTATTATTATTATTATTATTATTATTATTATTATTATTATTATTAGCCGCTATGCAACTGACTTCACTGAATAACAGGACAGGCACATACCGGTATTTGGTAACTCATATAAGAATAAATACCGTATTTTTTGGTCTATAGGACTCACTTTTTCCCTCCTAAAAAGTAAGGGGAAATGTGTGTGCGTCTTAGGGAGCGAATGCAGGCTGTGCAGCTATCCCAGAAGCCAGAACAGCAAGAGGGATTGCTGCTTTCACTGCACAGTGATCCCTCTTGCTGTTCTGGCTTCTGAGATTCAGAATATATTTGTTCTTGTTTTCCTCCTCCAAAAACTAGGTGCGTCTTGTGCTCTGGTGCGTCTTATAGAGCGAAAAATACGGTAATCTCATACGATCCATGCCTTCTCCCAGAGTCCCAAGTCAATTTGAAGACAACTGGTTATTTCTCCTGCAGGGGTGCCTCCCCCCAGCCCACCTGGCTCTACCAAGGCGGCATTTCCTCCGAGAAAAGTGGTTTGGGGCCACATAGAGACACCCCCATTCAGCTCCCTTGACTTTCATGCTCCATTTCTCAATGGCATCGTACGGAAATAACAGCAAAGAGTTCTGCCCCTGCTTTGCCAGATCTGCTGGCTTCTGTACTGCTGAGAAAGCAAAATGCAATGCCAATCAGGCTTGTCAAGCAGGAACAGAGCATTCTGCTTTACCTGCTGAGGAGGCAGCGAGCAGGGAAGAGGGACTGGTTTATGAGGAGTGCCAGGGGCCCGATCCAGATTTAGCCTGAAGCTGGAGGTTCTCTCACCATCTCCCACAACCCACTAAAGCTGAGGTCTCTTTGGCCTCCCACCTTTCTGCTGCATCCATCCATTAGGGAAGCTTTTAATGTTTAATAGATTATTGTATTTTAATATTCGGGCCAGCCAGATGGGCGGGGTATAAATAATAAATTATTAGTAGTAGTAGTAGTAGTAGAGGCATTGTAGCGGGCTGGACTAGATGACCGCTGGGGTCCCTTCCAACTCTAAAGTTCTATGATTCTAACCAGGGTGGATGTGATTTAAATCAAATCGATTTAAATCACTAGTCAGTAAGACTTGATTTACCGTATTTTTCCGTGTATAAGACTAGGTTTCCCCCCTAAAAAATAATGTCAGAAAATAGGGGGCATCTTATACAAAGATACATCTCCCCCCATTTTCTTAAATTGGAGTCTCCCAAAATAGGGGGCGTCTTATACATGGGGGCGTTTTATAGATGGAAAAACACGGTAAATCTCCCCCCCTTCCCCCCCCTTTTTACAGAAACCTTCATTCTTGCTGGTATCAGCTTATTATTTGCAACCAGATGAAGGTTTTTGGAATAATAAATTTTCAGAGTAGTTTTTACAGTTATATCCAAAATTGCTGATTTGGTTATGCTATTAGAAGTACGCAGACAGATAATTATGAAATTATTGTGAGGTTTAATAAGTTATCTGTTTATATTTGGACAACTTCCCTTCTGTACTTTATTGGAAGGAGAAGAAGAATCATTTCCTGAATAACAATTTAAACAATTTATTTAACCAAAACAATAACATTATAGCATATGTAACCATGTTTGTTAACAGATGTGGTTAAACAATTTTTTTTTTATAAAAACACCAGACTGAGTTTTAGCACACATGAAAAACTTAGAACAAATCCTTATTACCTGATGAATAGCCTTTGGTCTATAATGTAACTTAAATAGAAAACTATATTTGGGGGGGGGAAATCCTCCAAAAGCATTTTATTTTAAAAATCAAATTTAAATCAAAAAGTTCTGATTTAAATCAAAAAGTTCCAATTTAAATTTAAAAAATCCGATTTAAATTTAAAAAAATCTGATTTAAATTTAAAAAATCCGATTTAAATAAAAAAAATCTGATTTAAATTTTAAAAATCTGATTTGTTATTTCTTTTTTAATCATTTATTTATTTAATCATTGATTGATTGATTGATTGATTTTTTTAATCATTGATTTTTTATTCACCTGCCCTTCCCAGCCCAGCAAAGATCTGCTGCCCGAAGTGATCATCTCACTGTGCCTAATGATAGGGCTGGAAATTGGGGCTGGATTGAGAGGAATTTTGACATGCCACTGGCATTCTGTTAGATAAAAAGATCTTAAAAGCCAGAGAACAGGCTTCTTCATTTGTTTTCTGTCCCTCCCTCTCTCTCTCTTTTAAATATCTCTATGGCCTCTTCAAGTAACTGTAGAAGACCTCTCTGCTTCACTTGTTCATCTTACATCAATACTTTCAAATCCACCTTAAGCTTTGTGTGTCAATAAGTGGTGAAATGCCAGGACTGTTGAATATGGCCTTCCTTAATGAACTTGAGAACCTGACCTACTTCTGGAGCTATTTAACTCAACATTTTTAAAGATTTGTAACGCTACTCCTCAATCTTCATCTGATCGGGCCATTGCAGGAAACAGGAAGCTCTCCTTTTGCAACCAAAAATACATTGAAAGAGAACCAAAGAACCCACAAGCGAGACAATGTGAGGCTTTGGGAACGAGAGAAAAAAGTCTTCGGCAATAATAAAGTGCACTGCTGCATGCTTTGATCTCCTGCCAAAATAATCATTGTTTACCTGAGGAAGATTAATACATAAGGGAAGTATCAGTTGATGAGCTGTCTGGTGAGACTGGCCTCTTACATAACAGGAAGCCCTGTAACACAACACAGCCCTATGCAGTTAGTCAAGAATAAAAAGGTGAAGGGGAAAAAATAGGTCGTCAAGAATGAAGGCCTTTTGTAATAGGGAGATTTACGCTTACGTAAGCTTGAACGGCATTGCATCACCAACCCCTTAAATAGTACCAGGCTTGCCAAAAACATCAGTGTCTGTAGTTTCCCCCCACCCCTTGGACAGTGGTGAGGAATCTCTGGTCTTCCAGATGTTGTTAGACTCCATCTCCCATCAGCCATTGTCTGCACAGCCAATGGCCAGGTTGTCAACAGTGAAACCACATCTGGAGGGCCACAGTTTCCTCCACCCCCAGACACTGTTCAGAGTTAGCTAGGCGCCAGGTTCATTTGCGGGATGTGGGTGGTGCTGTGGGTTAAACCACTGCGCCGCTTGGGGTTGCCGATCTGAAGGTTGGCGGTTTGAATCCCCGCAACAGGGTGAGCTCCCATTGCTCGGTCCCTGCTCCTGCCAACCTAGCAGTTCGAAAGCACGTCAAAGTGCAAGTAGATAAATAGGTACCGCTCCGGTGGGAAGGTAAACGGCGTTTCTGTGCGCTGCTCTGGTTCGCCAGAAGCAGCTTGGTCATGCTGGCCACATGACCCGGAAGCCGTATGCCGGCTCCCTTGGCCAGTAAAGCGAGATGAGCGCCGGTCACGACTGGACCTAATGGTCAGGGGTCCCTTTACCTTTAGGTTCATTTAGAAATGTAGAGATTATAGTACATTGGTACCTCGGGTTACATATGCTTCAGGTTACATACGCTTCAGGTTGCAGACTCCGCTAACTTAGAAATAGTACCTCGGGTTAAGAACTTTGCTTCAGGATGAGAACAGAAATGGGCTCCGGTGGCGCGGCGGCAGAGGGAGACCCCATTAGCTAAAGTGGTGCTTCAGGTTAAGAACAGTTTCAGGTTAAGAACGGACCTCCGGAACGAATTAAGTACTTAACCCGAGGTACCACTGTAAATCCTTTTGTGGGTGTTGTCCCCAATAAATGAATTTTGTTTATTTATTTGTTTGTTTGTTTGTTTGTTTGTTTATTCCCTGCCTGTCTGGCTGGGCTTCCCCAGCCGCTCTGGGCGGCTTCCAACAAAAGATTAAAAACATGATAAAACTTCAAACATTAAAAACTTCCCAAAACGGGGCTGCCCTCAGATGTCTTCTAAATGTTAGATAGTTGTTTATCTCCTTGACATCTAGTGGGAGGGCGTTCCACAGGGAGGCCCTCTGCCTGGTTCCCTGTAACTTCGCTTCTCGCAGTGAGGGAACTGCCAGAAGGTATGTAAACCAGGAGCTGGCCCTAGGCATGACATAAGTATAGAATAATAATTACGATAATGAATAGCTGAGGCAAATAATTTATGGACCATCATCCTCATCATTTGTATGTGTGTGTCTGTCCCACCAACCCTGACATTTCTCAGAGCGGGTTACGTAGATTTTGGAGTCAACTTGCTCTCCAGCTAGTGGCCCTGCCAAAGATACGTTATGAGATCATCCTCAGGCACTACAAATTCTTACTTTGGATTGCTGTACCAGTTTTTGTGATTGGTGATGCTCGTTTTATCACGTGTTACTTTTACACGTTGCTTCAGTTAGCAGGATTGCAGTATGTGACTAACACGTTTTTGGAAATATAGTATTTATTGTTGATAATGCGCTTTGCATCGAAGGCAGAATTGCGCTGAGTTCCTTGGAATCGATTAAACATATTGTTATGAATTTGATGGGTGGGGAGGGAAGACCCCCCTAAATCATGGGTAGGCAAACTAAGGCCCAGGGGCCAGATGCGGCCCAATCGTCTTCTAAATCCGGCCTGCGGACAGTCCGGGAATCAGCTTGTTTTTACATGAGTAGAATGTGTCCTTTTATATAAAATGCATCTCTGGGTTATTTGTGGGCCTGCCTGGTGTTTTTACATGAGTAGAATGTGTCCTTTTATTTAAAATGCATCTCTGGGTTATTTGTGGGGCCTGCCTGGTGTTTTTACATGAGTGGAATGTGTCCTTTTATTTAAAATGCATCTCTGGGTTATTTGTGGGGCATAGGAATCCGTACATTTCCCCCCACCCCCCAAATATAGTCTGGCACCCCACAAAGTCTGAGGGACAGTGTACCAGCCCCCTGCTGAAAAAGTTTTCTGACTCCTGCCCTAAACCCAGTAAATGAATGAACGTCAGAATCGAGTTAATATTTGATAGGGTTGCCATGTATCTGGAATTTCCCAGACACAGCCGGTATTCAGCCTTTGTGAACAGCTTGTGGGTGGAAATCGCTGAAATGTCTGGGAAAATCTGGACGCAGGGCAGCCCATGCACTTTTGTGTTGGGATTTTCACTTTTTGAAATATGGCAACCCTATACTTGGAGTTTTGAGAAATACAGGCTGATCTTCCTTTCCAAGCCAGGGCCTCACCTGGGATAGAGGTGTTAACATGACCAAAAGGAATCCTTGGTCCTGGGCAAACAGAGGTTGCCCAGGTGATGGGATTTATAGGAGCGATAACAGGAAATGTGTGCTGGGAAGAAGAAGGGAGGGGGAAAAAAAGACTTTGGCAGGCTGGCAGAGATGGCTTGAGCTCCAGTGCTGCACTGCGGTGGGAAACAACCCCTCTTGAATTGACTGTGTTGCAAGTTCTGGGCTCCCTCCCTCCCTGGTGTAAATATGTGAATAAATCATATTTCTTAAAGCTGCGACAGTCTCTGCCATGTCTTGCTACTCAAAGGAGCACAGAGTGGCTGGAATCTTGGCACAGATTGGGGATGGCACCCAACCTTTGTAACAATATTTTGGAAGCAAAGGGTTTCCCCTCATCTGGCTTGAAGGGAAACATCTGTATAAAGGGAAAGACCTGCTTTCTGCCTTAGAGGACTTGCACAGTCAGATGCATGACATTACAGTGGTACCTCGGGTTACATACGCTTCAGGTTACATACGCTTCAGGTTACATACGCATCAGGTTACATGCTCCGCTAACCCAGAAATAGTGCTTCAGGTTAAGAACTTTGCTTCAGGATGAGAACAGAAATTGTGCTCTGGTGGCGCGGTGGCAGCCGGAGGCCCCATTAGCTAAAGTGGTGCTTCAGGTTAAGAACAGTTTCAGGTTAAGAACGGACCTCCAGAACGAATTAAGTACTTCACCTGAGGTACCGCTGTATTATCATCATCATCATCATCATTATTATTATTACAGTGGTACCTTGGTTCTCTAACGTAATCCGTTCCGGAAGTCTGTCCAACTTCCAAACTTCCTGCACTCAAGCGAAAGCTGCGTTGGCCGTTCAGCTTCCGAAAAACGGAACACTTACTTCCGGGTTTTCAGCATTCAGGAGCTGATTTGTTCGTCAACTAAGCCGTTTGAGAGCCAAGGTTCCACTGTATTGTTGTTGTTGTTGTTATTATTATTATTATTATTATTATTATTATTACCCGCCTTTTCCTCAGACCAGGAATCAGCTTACAGATAAAATAAAGTAGAGGTAAAGGGACCCCTGACCATTACGTCCGGTCGTGGCCGACTCTGGGGTTATATAGAAACTAAAAACATTGAAAAGATAGTCCATAAAATATAATGAAACACTCACAGAATGAAAACAGCACATATACTAAATATCTATCTATCTATTTATTTATTATTACAACAACATCACAGCACCAGCCCTTTCCTTTAAAAAAGTTAGTTTCTAAAAGCCTGTTAGAATAAGGTCTTCATCTGCCAGAAGAAGAACAACAAGCAGGAGCTAGCCTAATTTCTTTAGGTAGGGAGTTCTACAGTTTGGGAGCAGCCACCAAAAAGGCCCTGAACCCCATCTCCACAAAGTGTGAGGACTGTGAGGGTGGAGGGACTAAGAAAGGGGCCTCCATTGGAGATCTTGGCCCATGAAGGTTTGTTAGAGAGAGTACAATCATCTTGTATTCTCTAACTTGGTATAAAGTAGGTAGCCTCTCATATTTGTAGCGTAAACCACTGAGCCTTGGGCTTGCCGATCAGAAGGTCGGTGGTTCGAATCCCCATGATGGGGTGAGCTCCCGTTGCTCTGCCCCAGCTCCTGCCAACCTAGCAGTTAACACATCAAAGTGCAAGTAGATAAATAGGTACCACTCCGGCGGGAAGGTAAACAGCATTTCCGTGCGCTGCTCTGGTTTCGCCAGAAGCGGCTTAGTCATGCTGGCCACACGACCCGGAAAAACCATCTGCATACAAACATCGGCTCCCTCGGCCAGTAAAGCGAGATGAGCGCCGCAACCCCAGAGTCATTCATGACTGGACTTAACTGTCAGGGGTCCTTTACCTTTACCTTTTTAATGCCGTCATTATGACTTGTCAAGCACCTTCTCTAAAAGTCTTTTGTTCTCAGAGAGTATCCTGAATATTCATGGTAGTTACCTCCCAATAAAATGTCACATCTTTCCATTACAGTGGTACCTCGGGTTACATACGCTTCAGGTTACATACGCTTCAGGTTACAGACTCCGCTAACCCAGAAATAGTGCTTCAGGTTAAGAACTTTGCTTCAGGATGAGAAGAGAAATCATGCTCTGGCGGCGCGGCAGCAGCAGGAGGCCTCATTAGCTAAATTGGTCTTCAGGTTAATAATAATAATGATGATAATGATAATGATAATAATAATAATAATAATGATTTTATTATTTATACTCTGCCCATCTGGCTGGGTTTCCCCAGCCACTCTGGGCGGCTTCCAAAAAAATATTAAAGAACAGTTTCAGGTTAAGAACAGACCTCTGGAACGGATTAAGTACTTAACCTGAAGTACCACTGTACTGCATTTTGGTCCGGCCTTTATACCTGCATGTCAAATCGTATCTCTTAATTTTTCGCATTTTCTTCTAGAAGCAGAAGCCGAAGGACTCTGATACTGTGTAGATCTTCCTCACAACACTGCTCTATCTCTTTTTCGCAGAGAGCTGCGCCGTGCCCATATCTGAGATTATTGCTGTCGAGGAAACAGAAATCGATAAGAAACAATCTAATAGTGGGAAATGGCAGAAAATGGCAAAGCCACATGCATTCACAGGTAAAACACAACGGCAGGCACCGTTTTTTTAAAACACCTGTTTGCTAAATGTTTGCAATATTCTTCCAAGCGGTGAGAGAAATCTTACCACTCATCTGCTTTCTTGGATTTCTCGCCAAGAAATCGTTTGGAGTAAGTTACCACTTGGCATAACATAATCTGTATTCCACCCTCACCAACCCTCAATTCTGAGTGGAGAAATTGCCGCAAAACTACTCTGATTTCCACTGCAGAACACAATAGCATCATTAACTACCATACCCCTCTGCGTATCTTGCAGAAAACGGACCTTTAGGGAGCATATTAAGGGAAAGCAAGCAATAAATGGCTTTGAATTTGTCTTTTGACCCACTAGGGTATATGCCTGGACTTAGTGTGTGTGAATTTTCACCACACACAACCTTCAAATTATAGGGCATTATTAAGTGCTTTGAAATAGCGACAGGATGCATGTTTTCACATGTGCTCCATATTTTATGTACATATAATATCTAAGAGTTTTTTTAAATTGATGACATAGCTATAAACTTAACCAAGGGTTTATTGATTGCTTAAATGCCCAAAGTGTTTGTTTGTTTTTAACCTAAAGTTCTGCTAAATCTTGCCCCTATTGAATCCATTAAATGGTCAGGGTTTTCTGCTTTGTATCTGCACTTTAAAAAATGGTAATTATTAATTATTACCTCACAACAGATTCTTCTTCTTTTTCCCCCCCAAAGGAAGAGGAAGACCTACTTGACTTCAAAATATAAACCTTAAAAAAATTAGAAGCCCTACCTGTCTGAGGTGAAAGGGCAAGCGCTTGATTTGTTTCTAATTCCTTTTAATACCTTTTGAATAAATAGAGGATTTTCCTTTTACAGTGTTGGAATATGAGACATTCTGGGTACCTTGAAATGAATCCTTACATATAACTTTGTTTGCATAGGACAGGCATCCCCAAACTCGGCCCTCCAGATGTTTTGGGACTACAACTCCCATGATCCCTAGCTAACAAGTCCAGTGGTCAGGGATGATGGGAACTGTAGTCCCAAAACATCTGGAGGGCTGAGTTTGGGGAGTTCCACGCTTTGCAGTGATAGCTGACGCGTGAAAGTAGACTTACCAGTCTCTTTTCCCCAAATCTGGAAAGTCGGAGGCTGTTTCCGAAAAACCTTCAGCCAGCTTTATAAAATTAAAGTTTAATTTGGAATACCTTCCCCATTTTTGGTGCCCATATCTTGAAGCTACTGGCACATACCAACTGAAAGACAGGAACGTTGATTAGGAAGTCAAATCTCATCTATGCTGTATAACTGACTTGGTGGTCTCTCTCGTCCCATTCAGAATTATGTTTCATGCGTTGGTCTAATAAGTGGGTGGGGCCGTAACAAATAGCCCCACCCCCAAGTCTCTGTGTATACAGTGTGAATGTCTGCAGAGAGGGAGTCCTTGCTCTGGGTTCCAGATCACATGGGGCGGGGCTACTTGGGACATGTGACACTGGGGTGGAGCTAGTCAAATTAGGCCCCCGCCCACTTCCGGCTACGACTTCTTTTTTCTTTTTTCTTCTGCCTCAAATTCCCAGCTGCAATACAGGGCTAGCGATGCCAGTCTATCTTACTGGGTTGTTGTACGTTTTAATGAGATAATGCACGCTGAGTTCTTTGAACCCTACCAACCTCTGTATAAATACTAAGTTCCATTATGTTTTCTGGAGTTAATTTTGCCCCGCGTTTAAAGGACTCTTCAGACGGAATTCTGCCTCCTGTGTACATGACCCTTTTTTGTTTGTTTGCAGTGCACTATGCGAAGAGAGTACATAATCACCGCTGGCGGTGCAAAGACGTGACATTCTGGTGCATTAATGAGCAACTGTGTAATCAGTGGATGCATGCGCTCAGAGAATTACTTGATTTGCAGAGTAAGTTCTCGATGCGCAACTTGTTTCCTCCGCTGCCTTGGATGGAGATCAAAATCCTAGAGTACAGCAAACGAAAAACGGGGCAAGGGGTTTGTTACAGGTGCTGAGAGTCATTAGGAACCGCCATTTGCCTCTTAGAGCTACCAATTTCCAGAGCGGTTTAACAATCAATCCGTCTTTGCAGGGAATTTTGGGAACTGTAGCCCTGGGCAGAGAAATAATGTATAGTGTTAACATGGCCCTGTTGTAGACTAGGGATGGAGGACCGCTGGTCCTTTCCTGTGGCATTATTCCAACTTCCAGCAGCCTCGGCCAGCATGGCCAATGGTCAGAGCTAATGCATGAAGTCTAGTACCATCTGGGACATATGTGCAGGAGAAGCAGATTAAAGATAAGAAGAAACAGGAGTTCATTGATAACTGGAGACCTCTAAAGAGTTACTTAAAAAATAAGAGTTGCAATCTGAATTCGGTAGCAGCTTTTGAATAAGCTCTGTAAATAAAGGTTAAATGAGTTAAAACAGATATATAATACACAGAGATGCATATTAATATTTTATTATGATTTTGCTGATAAATTTAGGCAACAGGTTTACTAGAGTGAAAAGATGTTGAGAAGGACGGGTAGTCAAATTTATGAAGATATATACTGTACCTCTTGGATGGAATTTTTATTATGATGAATTTGATTTACAGACTTTAAAATGTCTTTGATGTAACTACGGTTAATAAAGCATTAAATAAATAAAAAGGGGGGGGGGAGAAGAAGTAGCCTGGCTGCCTTGAATTTATTGGAGAAAAATGGGATAAAATTATCCAAAGTAATTATAGTTCAGTTAGCTATACATATCACCAAAAGAATCATGCACCCTTATAAATTTTCTGGCCTATTACTTGAACACCTTTTTAAAAAACTGAAAAAGGGAAAGAATGCTGGAATAGGGCTTAAAATACAAAAAAAAAAAAAAAAGACTGAAAGTTTGTGAGAATCTTTTGGTACTCTGTTCAGTCATGATAGCGTTTATTACATTTGAATCATTATTTCCAATGAACTTGGTTCTCTAAATTGCTTTGTAAAAACAACAACAACAAAACAACCCGCTGATGCGCATGAAGGAATTTAGGAGTGAATAATCCTAAAAACTATTTAGTTTTAACTGGTATATCCTTTTTCACTTTGGCAGCCTCTAGACCAAAGCACTTGCTTGTATATATTAATCCGTACGGTGGGAAAAAACAAGGAGAGAAGATCTATGAACAAAAGGTAGCTCCATTGTTTAGCCTAGCCTCCATTTCAACAGATGTTATAGGTGAGTAATGTAAAAATGGTCTGTTATAAAATGCATTCCTTCATCTCGTGCATGTTTTAGAAAGAACTGCCTTTAACTTAATTCCATGTCAATGCTGTTACGCAACAGAGGTTTGCCGCTGAACCTACAAAAGGGGTTTTTCGATTCCGGTAAGGAAAGTTGTGCCGCAATGCAACCCAGTAATAATAATAATAATAATAATAATAATAATAATAATAATAATTTATTATTTATACCCCGCCCATCTGGCTGGGTTTCCCCAGCCACTTTGGGTGGCTTCCAAAGAAATATTTAAATACTGTAATACATCAAACATTAAAAGCTTCCCTAAACAGGGCTGCCTTCAGATGTCTTCTAAAAGTCTGGTAGTTGTTGTTCTCTTTGACATCTGGTGGGAGGGCGTTCCACAGGGAGGGCGCCACTACTGAGAAGGCCCTCTGCCTGGTTCCCTGTAACTTGGCTTCTCGCAGTGAGGGAACCGCCAGAAGGCCCTCGGTGCTGGATCTCAGTGTCTGGGTAGAATGATGGGGGTGGAGACGCTGGACCGAGGCCATTTAGGGCTTTAAAGATCAACACCAACACTTTGAATTGTGCTCGGAAACATACTGGGAGCCAATGTAGGTCTTTCAAGACTGGTGTTATATGGTCTCAGCGGCCGCTCCCAGTCACCAGTCTAGCTGCCGCGTTCTGGATTAGTTGTAGTTTCCGGGTCACCTTCAAAGGTAGCCCATGTAGAGTGCGTTGCAGTAGTCCAAGCGGGAGATTACCAGAGCATGCACCACTCTGGCGAGACAGATAGGGTCTCAGTCTGTGTACCAGATGGAGTTGGTAAACAGCTGCCCTGGACACAGATTTGACCTGTGCCTCCATGGACAGCTGTGAGTCCACATTGACTCCCAGGCTGCACATCTGGTCCTTCAGGGGCACAGTTACCCCATTCAGGACCAGGGAATCCTCCACACCTGCCTCCTGTCCCCCCAAGAACAGTACTTCTGTCTTGTCAGGATTCAACCTCAATCTGTTAGCCGCCATCCATCCTCCAACCGCCTCTAGACATTCACACAGGGCCTTCACTGGTTCTGATTGCACAAACCATGGTGCAGATTCCACATCCTTGCTGCATTTCCACATCCAGCCTCTGGGCTTGGATCTCAGGTCAACCCCCAGTGCATCGTAGTGCAAAATGCCCGTTTGTTGAGAAACAGCTGCAAGGTTTTGCAGCTCCCTGGAAGCTCCACAGTGCTCATTTAATTCTCTGGATGCTTTCTCAGTCCTCAAATAAACAAATGAGCATGCATAGCACAAAAGGAAAACTCCACCTGAAAACATTTGCATGCGCTTTTTCAGTTGTCAACAAGAGAACAAGCACTGCACAGTGGCACCTGAGTCTCTCCCTCTTTCCTAAATGTACACAGCCTTGCTCGAGTTCAGATGGCCATCACTAGGCTGAGAAAGACTCCTAAGAGATTGGGACAGGCCTTTGCGCATGTTGCTGGAAGGCTTTCTGGCAATTTACTATGTGTGTGTATTTTTAGAAAGGTGTTGTGAAAACTCCAAGCATTTTGCAGCCATGTTGTTTGTACAGGGTTCACCTCAGATTTGGCACTGGCGTAGATATTTTCCAAATCCACGCTGAATATAGATTACAGGATTGTTGTTTTCCTTTCAAGGAGGCCGATGACCACGTAGTAGCTTCTTACCCCTTTTCTTATCCAGCTATTATGCGCTTCCTTCTTTTGCTGGAATAACGGTCCATTTTTTTCCATAGGAAACTTGGGTCGTTGCCCCAAAGGGAAGCATTTGCTAGCTGGGAATAGGAAGCAGCGTTTGAGGCCACGGGGCTGGCAGAAATCTGGTGAAATTTCTACAGGCCTGGCTCTATCACAGACCCTCCAAGTGTCCCCATTTTCCAGGGACGTCTCTGATTTAGAGAAGCCATCTCGGTTTCTGATTTGATCCCGGAATGTCCCACTTTTCCTTAGGAAGTCCCTATTTTCATTGGAGAAATGTTGGAGGGTAATTTAATGAATGTTAGAGTGGTGTTGGATTGAAATTAAGTGGCTTCTAGCTGTACAGGCTTTAAAGTTATAAATATATCAAGATTAAGGATTAGGATTAAAAAGGTTAAAAGAATGGAAAAATTGGTTTTTAATAGGTAAAAATTTAATGTTATATTATATTAAGATTAAGGATTAGGATTAAAAAGGAGGGAAAGGAATTGCTGGACTAACAAACTGAATTGGAATACAAAAGAGGGAGGTATGAGGAGGTCCGGGAAGCAAGTAAATGTAAAAGTAGTGATGAAAAGAGGGAATTGTTTTTAACTGTTTTTTCTTTTTTCTTTTTGTATTTTGCATTGTGTATTTTTCTTTTTATTCTTGAATTTTTCTTTTTTGTTGATGTGATTCTTTCTTTGTGAAACTTTAATAAATATAATTTAAAAAAAAAGAAAAGAAAAAAAGAGAATTGTTGGAGGGTATGGAGTTATCCGAGCCCCGAGCCGTCTGAAAGCGATCCTGTATAGGGAAGGGTTTTTTTTTTAATGTTTTATGATGTTTTTATATACATGTTGGAAACTGCCCAGTAAGATGTGTGGGGTATAAATATAAAAATTACCATACTGGGCTGAATATGAGCTGTACTATTTTTTCCCAAATCCCAACTGTGAAAAGTTAAAGTGTGGCTTATATTCATGGCCTTACGAGAGCGACACCCCCACCCCCCACCCAGGAAGCAGCCCGGAAGCGTGGGGCAAAGTTGCCCAGCCCACCCCCCACTCCCAAGCCTCCCCTGAGCAGCCCTTGAATTTTGCAGCTTATTTGAGAGTGCAGCTTATATTCGGGTCAATACGGTATCATTATGGAATAAGACGTCCCTATTTTCATCAGAGGAATGTTGAGGGGTATGCTATCATACAAGCAAGAAGTGAAGAAGCTGGCATGCCACAATTGTGGCAGTGTACGTTGTGGTTGCAGTTTGCCCATGGAGGCGGGTTTACTCCAGGCTTGACTACTGTAATTCGCTCTATGCGGGGCTGCCCTTGAAGCTGTCCCAGAAACTCCAGCGGGTGCAGAATGCTGCAGCCAGGCTCCTCATGGGGTCTCTGCTATGGGAGCATATTCACCCAGTGCTTTTCCAGCTGCACTGGCTCCCGGTGGAGTACAGGATCAGATTTAAGGTTCTGGTTTTGACCTTTAAAGCCCTTCACAGCCTAGGACCCTCGTACCTACGGGACCGCCTCTCCCGGTATGCCCCACAGAGAGCCTCAAGGTCCATAAATAGCAACACCCTAGAGGTCCCGGGCCCTAAGGAAGTTAGATTAGTTTCAACCAGAGCCAGGGCCTTTTCAACACTGGCTCTGGGCTGGTGGAACGCTCTGCCTCATAAGTCCAGGGCCCTGCAGGATCTTATTTCTTTCCGCAGGGCCTGTAAGACAGAGTTGTTCCACCTGGCCTTTGGCTTGGAGCCAGTTTGATTCCCTCCCCCTCTTCCTTTTTTCTTTTTCCTTTCTCCTCCTGTGATGGGGCTGCATTTTAATATTTTAATGTTTCAATATTTTAATGTTGTATTTTAATCTTGTTTTTAAGTTGTATTCATTCAACTTGTTTTTATTATTGCTTGTTAGCTGCCCTGAGCCCGGCCTTGGCTGGGGAGGGCGGGGTATAAATAAAAGTTATTATTATTATTATTACTGCAGCCCTGCCCTGTTTCACAAATGAGCCATACCTGCATTCCATAACAGCTTCCTATATTGCTATACACAAGGTGGTTTGCAGGCAGAAGAAACAACAGAACATGCAACGAAGATCACGCAACCTGGTCATGAAAAACTCTTGCATTTTAAATGATCTTGTACTGAATAAAGTAATAAATAACCCATAAGAATATAATAATGCACTGCAGGTTATTTTAACAGGAATTCACTCTCAGCGATTGCAGCGAATGATTACCAAATTGTAATCAATAAAAATGGTAGCAGAGTTACAGTACGTAAAATAGATGGGCTAGTCTTGGATGACACCCTAAGTAACAATGGGTGGAGTTGCAGCTTGGTGAAATATGATAAGGTTTATCACAATCCTGGCGCCTTACAGTAGCCTAGACTGCTTCCTCCCTCAGGCAGCTGCAACAACAATAAGTGTCAGGAACCAAAATGGTCATAAACCAGTAGTTTTCTCCCTCCCTAGCCATTTATGTGCACATATGATCCTCCTTTTAATATTATGTCCTAAAGCTGTTTGTTCCTTTTCTTTCCCCCCTCAGTCACTGAACGCGCTAATCATGCTAGGGATAACTTACTTGAAGTTAATCTAGAGAAATATGATGGGTAAGTTCTCTTTTTCTCTCTTACATTAATCTGTTTTTTTTAAGATAAAGTACACAGTCCGTACGTGCCCTGCTTAGTAGACAAGTGGAATGACTGCCCAACAATTTGGGAATACCCTTTAGTGTGCAGATTGCTGCGAGGAGCTTGCTTCAGCCACCCAGTTTAGCGCCTCTCTTTCTGACCTTATTCCCAGGCACCTGCTGAGGCCGCAGTCCCTATTGATTCATAAATGAACCCCAAAGAGAGCCTGCTTAGTATTGCAGTCTTAGGGGATGGAGATGTCCCTGTGATGTTTTGAAACCATCAGGGTGTCGTACCGCTGAGTGGGCTTTGGCACATCTTGCATTTTCTCTAGTAGCGTAGGAGAGCTGAAAACAATGCCAATATATTTCACATCTGGCAACCAATGCGCTGCTTTGGTTTCAGATAACAAGTGGGTAGACGAGTCCCAAAAGCCCGGGACCCAAATTTTCATGGTTCTCTAGCAGCTAGTTTTCCAGACTGCAGAGCGTGCTCCTCAAATGCTCGTTGCCTTTGTTTTCTGATAATTTAGGAGACGCGTGAAAAATGGCGATGCCTTAATTGATGCCCAGTGAAACAAGTTCCTCTCGGCCCATAAATCTTCCAGGAAAGCTTTGTAATGTCAATGATGCCCTCTTATCGACGGCGTAGCACATTTATTTATCATTGTGCATGTTTATAATCCTCACCGGTATATTCTCAGAAAGTTTAGCCAATTCTAATCGCCCTTTGGGAGGAAGATGGGTTGGGTTGTGGGGAGATATCCCCAAGCAAGCTACCGTATTTTTTTTGCTCTATAAGACTCACTTTTTCCCTCCTAAAAAGTAAGGGGAAATGTGTGTGCGTCTTATGGAGCGAATGCAGTCTGCGCAGCAATCCCAGAAGCCGGAACATCAAGAGGGATTGCTGCTTTCACTGCGCAGCGATCCCTCTTGCTGTTCTGGCTTCTGAGATTCAGAATATTTTTTTTCTTGTTTTCCTCCTCCAAAAACTAGGTGCGTCTTGTGGTCTGGTGCATCTTATAGAGCGAAAAATACGGTAATTTCCCTTCTGCTCTCCTGTTTCTGCGCATACAGGCTATAATCCAACAGAACTGGTCCATGCATATAGCAAGGCTTGTCTGTCGCTGGCGATGGGAAAGCATTGCCTGCATTCCCAGCTCTCTTTCCCTCCCCCTGAATCCTGCAACACACACACAGATCTCAGGATCGTGGGCACCTGGTATAGGAATGCTAATTCGCTGCTTCTGTCGTGCCCGCTAAGACGGAGATTAATTAAACCGCCATGCGCCCTGCTAATGCAAGGCCTTCTCATCAAGTCACAATTCCTCGTGCATTAATCCTCCCCTAATTACTACAACGCCGAGTCAAATAGTATTGAGATTCCAATTACGCCGGGCATGGAAATGGTTGTAGGACGGGACAGGCGTTCTGGATCATTCCTGAGGCTCGGAATATATGGACGCTCTAGTTGTTATAGACAGATCGGCCGGCGGTTACAAGCAGACAAATTACCAGCGTTCTATACCAATCCCGCATCATTTCCACTTGCTGTCTTTGTCCCTTTGGTCTCACGAACGTAAGAGAGAGCTTTGGATAGGAGGTGTTAACTTTGAGCAGCGGATGCTCGCGATAATGCAGTTGTGGTAGGCGGGAAAATGTGTTTCAATTTGTCTTTTCAAATATAGGCAGATATCTCACAGCAGATGATGAGGCAGCAAATGCAGAGCTAGATGAGATGATGGCTTTCCTGTTATCCAAATGTGACATGTAGAGCTTTCTGTCTGTCTCTGCGACATATCACAGCCTGCTATTGAACTGTAGGAGAATTCAGCCGCCTCTAACGAATTAACTCTCGTTTCTGCTGTGCGTTTAAACATCACATGAACAGGGATCAACCTGGCAGCTCAGCATTCCTTGAAAACTTTCCCAAATGAAGATTTCCCCCATTGCAGAAAGCCGGTACAGTGGGACCTTGGTTCTCAAACTTAATCCATTCCAGAAATCTGTTCCATAACCAAAGCGTTCCAAAACCAAGGCACGCTATCCCATAGAAAGTAATCCAGAACAGATTAATTCATTCCAGACTTTTAAAAACAACCTCTAAAACAGCAATTTAACATGAATTTTACTATCTAACGAGACCATTGATCCATAAAATGAAAGCAATAATCAATGTACTGTAGTATAAAATAAATAAGACAGTATTGTAGATGATTTTTAAAAATTAATTCTTACCTGCACTGATGATAGTCATTGTTTGGATGGGGGGCATTTATCCATTTCCACAGTCACACAATCAGTCAGTCAGTAGCTGAACTGGGTTCCACACAGTCACAAAAACAAATGAACCGAAAAAGCCTCAAAAACAAAAACGCAAAATAAATGGCAAAAACAAAAGTGCCAAACTTCATCCATTCCGTAAGTCCGTTTGACTTCCGAAATATTCAAAAACCACTGTGCGGCTTCTGATTGGTGCAGGCGCCCCGGAAACAATGGCCGACAGCTGCATCGGATGTTCGGCTTCTGAAAAACGTTCGAAAACCAGAACACTTACTTTCGGGTTTTTGGCGTTTGGGAACCAAGGCATTTGAGAAGCAAGGCGTTTGAGAACCAAGGTACCGCTGTATCTTGCAGTACCAACTGGTGAGGAATTTGATTGGAAATATCTGCAGGATTAGTCCCTTCCAATGTGGCTGGGTTATTTAAATGATCTCCCAGACATTTGTACACCTGGGGGATCACTGAAAGTACCATTCAGTCGCTCACGAACTCTTGCTGTCCATGGTAAAATCTCCAGAACAGCAGCCCAGCTGTAAGATGATAAGAAGCAGTGGCTTATGTAGGGATTATGAATGGTAACTCATTAGGTGAAATATCTGTACGTTGGAAGAGGAACAGTATTCCATGTTGACGTCTGCCTTGTGTTTACTGTTTTGTTTTCAACCGATGTCTGTGAGTACTCGCAAAGGAGCAGCAGAAACTAGGGGAGAATTATTTTACAATTAGCCCCAACTCTGCCCCCTCCCCCTCTAAAACAGGTTTACAACTGTTCTGTGATCTGAAATTACATTTTGAACGGATTAATTCAAGACACACAGTAAACCAGCCTGAAGAACTTGATAAGGGAGGTTTTTCTTTTTTTCTTTTTCTTTCTTCCTTGATAAAGCGAACCATATCTACTGTGTCGGGAGTGTTTGACATATTTGTTGATTCCTTCGTTTGCTGTGAGTGTGCATTTTAATTTGTGTATTTTCCGGCAGTGTTGTTTGTGTTGGTGGGGACGGCATGTTCAATGAAGTGATGCATGGTTTGATTGGAAGGACGCAGAAGGATTCTGGCATAGATCAAAATAACCCCAAAGCACCATTAGTCCAATGCAATATCAGGATTGGCATAATCCCAGCTGGTAAGAATCGCAAAACGGCTCACTTTCGCCATACGTCATTATATTGCGGTTATGATTTAATACATGTTTCATCAGCCTCCAGGTTGTGCAGCAAGGAACCTAGCCTAGAATCACAACATGGGCAGAAACTGGCTGCTGGTATTTCAACGTTGTCTGTATCTGTGTAAAAAGGAGCACGTGAAGGGAAACGACAGGATCACAACCTGTTGCCAGACCTCCATCACCCCAGCCTCTGTGCGTTTATCCAAACCCATGAATGGCTCTGTTCACAGATAATGGATGGATACATAGAGGTCAGAGACTGGAGCATGCAGATATCACCTTGCTCGTTTCTCTTCCGTGTGATCATTCTACATGGCTGGATGTGCGATCAGCCCTAACTGTTATGGCATATTAAGATTTCAAGGACACAGAGTATGTGAGATAATTGAGCCTTCTATTATTATTATTATTATTATTATTATTATTATTATTATTATTTATATACCTCCCTATACACGGGGGTCTCAGGGCAGTTCACAGAATAAAAATAAAAACAACAACCACAAAATACATAATAAAAATAAAAATAACAACCCAATAGCCCCCCACCCCCCAAAATATATATATATTTTTAAAGGGCATAAGATGTAAATAAGATCAACCAAAGGCCTGGTTAAAAAGGAACATTTTTGCCTGGTACTGAAAGGTGTATAATGAAGGTGCCAGGCGAACTTTCCTGGGGAGAGGCTCCACAAACGGGGAGCCACTGCGGAGAAGGCCCCGTTCTCGTGTTCCCACCCAATTATCACCAGCATTCTTCCCTTTTCTCCTGGGCCAGCCAGTTTTACCCCAGAAGGACCTTATTTAAAGGAGCCTGGAATCTTATGCTTAGGAACAGCATCCCAGTTTTCCATCGGTGTCCCTCCATAGTTCAGGGAGCTTATAGCAAATAGAACAGCGCAGGATTACCACCCTGCATTTATTCTACATTGTTTTAGCAAATTTATAGTGTTTGGGCTACGTTTTAGATTTAGATCGTTTTGTCTTTTGTGAAGATTTAACATTGTCTCATTGTTTGTTGTTTGTGGGCTGTTAGTACCCTTGACATGTGTTTTCTGGGACTGTCTATTCTCACCGGAACAAACCCTAGTCCTTTTATTTATATGTAAAGGCAAGCCTTTCAGGTTTGCCTGAATGTGCGTTCCTAGCGAATTCTATATCGAGAGCTATGGACACGTCAGGATTTAGTCTAAAGAAAGAACACATCTTGGTGGATTTTGCTAGGAATAGTTTGGACCTCACACCTACCCCATGAGCCCTCAATCTATCGCTTTCCTTTTAAATTGGGAAGTATCCTCCAAACTAGTCTCTTTATTTTTATTTGGCTATGGACATGATTTATACTTCACCTTTCAACAGCTTCCCAGGGAAACTGACAAAAAGTTTTAAATGGTGCTAAACAAATTAAGACAAAAGCATTAAAACACAGGCAGCAGCAACAGCAGCAGTAATAATAATAATAATAATAATAATAATAATAATAATATATTTCTTTATACCCCGCCCATCTGGCTGGATTTCCCTAGCCGCTCTGGGCAGCTCCCAACAGAATATTAAAAACAAGATAAAACATCAGACATTAAAAACTACCCTAAACAGGCTTGCCTTCAGATGTAAAAGCAAATGCAAAGCGAGAGAAAGGCAACTTTAACATAGAGCAGGGCTCAGCAAACTTTTTCACCAGGGGGCCGGTCCACTGTCCCTCAGACCTTGTGGGGGGGGCGGACTATATTTTGAAAAGAAGAAGAAGAACAAATTCCTATGCCCCACAAATAACCCAGAGATGCATTTTAAATAAAAGGACACATTCTACTCGTGTAAAAACACACTGATTCCTGGCCCATCCGCGGGCTGGATTTAGAAGGCGATTGGGCCGGATCCGGCCCCCAGGCCTTAGTTTGCCTATCCATGACATAGAAGCCAGGATTTATTATTCTCCTTTATTTTTAAAAAGTCTTCACTTGTGGCACAGACACCTGCCACACCTTAGACACCCAGTGAAGGACCTCTGTTGTAGGTCTTACAAACCATGAAGGGCCTTAAAGCCGCCAAGCAACTTTTGAAGTCGTGAAATGACCTGGGAGCCAGCACAGTTGGCAGAGCACAAGTGTGCCATGATCACAATGCCCGGTCCCAGGGATCACAGCTTCGCGGTTGTGTTTTGGATTAACTGCAGTTTCCGAACCATCTTCAAGGGCAGCCCCTGTAGTGCACTAATGCAGTAGTCCAGCCTTCTCCAAGCCGGTGGCCTCCAGACGTTTCAGAGTCCAGCTACCATCAGCCCCGATGCCCTATGGGCCGAGGAGAGGAGCATTGGTCCCTTGAAGCTGAGGGAATTGGCCTTGCCGTCACTCCTTGTTGCTAGGCGGCAACTTGAGTTACTGCCATGGGCCTTTCCGTGGAAGGAGATTGTGATGGTGGCAGCTGCTACTACCTCTCACCGAAGGGATATCTAACTGAATAGTGCCACTCACAGGGTGTATAATTACTATTCATTTTTTATTTTTTTAAAAAGCTCAATGGTGAACAGTGGCTCACCAGAAAACCGATGTACCTTTGGCACGTAAATTAATTGTCAGTTTAAGCAGGGCTTGTCACATGCCAGGACAAAACTTAGAAACCTGTTTTTCACTAGCAGGGTTTCTGTCACGGTCATCTTATTTAATTAGTTAATTTTTAAAAGAGCATTCCTCACCTGCCCTTCACCCAGGGCGGGTTGCAGGAATAATAATAATAATATTCAGTGGGAAGCCACTTTGCGTGGCTTCCAACTGAATATTTAAAAAATACAGCATCAGACATTAAAAACTTCCCTAAACAAAGCCGCCTTCAGTTGTCTTTTAAAAGTAAAATAGTTGTTTATTGCCTTGACATCTGCTGGGAGGGTGTTCCACAGAGCAGGCACCACTACCGAGAAGGCCCTCTGCCTGGTTCCCTGTAACCTCACTTCTTGCAGCGAGGGAACTGCCAGAAGGCCCTCACCGCTGGACCTCAGTGTCCAGGCTGGATGATGGGGGAGGAGACGTTCCTTCAGGTATACAGGACCGAGGCCGTTTAGGGCTTTAAAGGTCAGCACCAACACTTTGAATTGTGCTCGGAAACGTACTGGGAGCCAATGAAGATCTTTCAGGACCAGTGTTATTGGTCTTGGAGGCCACTCCCAGTCACCAATCTAGTTGCCGCATTCTGGATTAATTTCAGTTTCTGGGTCACCTTCAAAGGTAGCCCCACATAAGCGCGTTGCAGTAGTCCAAGCAGGAGATAACTAGAGCATGCACCACTCTGGCAAGACAGTCTGCGGGTAGGTGGGGTCTTAACCTGCATACCAGGTGGAGCTGGTAGACAGCTGCCCTGGACACAGAATTAACCTCTGCCTCCATGGACAACTGTGAGAGAAATATATGAGAGAAAAAACACCCCAAGTAAAGCACGCAGAACACAGAACAATATAAATTCAGCAAAACATATTTTGTTTCGTCCCACAAAACAAAATGCCTTAACCATAAATGCCGGAGGTGTGTTTTTGGCATGCAAGAGACACTATAGAACAAAGATGCCAGTCGTACCTCTATGAGGAGGGACTTCCACAATTTTAGGGCCTGCTGCAGAGAAAGCCCTCTCCCGGCCACCATTCCCCACATTTTTTTGGGGCGGGGGGTTTCCTTCCATATATCAGTCGGCTTTCCAGTGAGGAGGGTCTCAAAAAGGAATAACTTCTCTAGTCCCCATACACCCAGGATGAGAAGGTAGGGCTTCTAAGCTAACAAGGCTGTTATTAGTTTTACATTATTTTATCCTGTTTGCACTAAGTTACATTCTGAATTTCAGTCTCGTTTCCAGAATAACTCTTTCCCCAATGGATTAATTTCCTTATGTTCTGCCTTAAAAACACACTTTGGTTGCTTGGACGTCCTATTATGATTTTCAGCTTTTATTAGACGGAGAGAAGTGCCGCAATCAAAAATTGAACCCAAATGAATCAGGGGTTTTTGGGTGGGCTTTCGGAGTCAAAATGTATCTCCCCGGGTCAGAAATATCTGCTTGATATTACCTTTGCTTTCGGACTCAAAATGTCGTGGGTGTATCTCCCCAGGTCAGAAATGTCTGCTTGATATAACCTTGATGTTTATTAACTTGCAGAGATTTCGTTGGTATGAATTCACTGGTCTGCTCTGTAAAGGGCGGCTCAAACTTTTCCCGTCTTTTCCCTCCGTTTAGCTGCTTTCATTCCACCCACCTGCCTGACAAATCAAAATTTTGCTTAAGCACGCACTAAGCCTAATTCTTTTGTTCTGCCCTGGACAAACAGCGTCAGCTTGACAAAAGGATTTCCACCGCAGCTCTTTAACAACAGATCAATCTCCCTCTACACCTCTCTCGAAACATTGCGTTGACCCTCCTGCCTGAGTTATCAAGGAGAAAGCAAACACCACGACTTTGTCCTGTCAAACTGCATAAAATGGTTAGCGAGAGAGGCAAGGGAAGGAATTGTCTCTCCTGTCTGCTGGATGGAAAGGAAGAAAATTCTACATTCGGCTGTCCCACAGCCATTACCATGCCCTAAGCAATTCCATCCTGTTTCGTCACATTTTGGATATTCAGCATATGTCGACATTCGCATGTGGAAGCAGACAGCCCCAAGAGGGGAAAATCCAAAGTGTCTGACAGTTCAGATAGTCGCTAGCGAACGTTGACAAGTCACCTAAATGGAGCAGTCAGCTTTCCTTAGTATATGTCCGAGAAGTGGGGGGGATATACGTCTGTTTTCAGGAATTCCAGGGCTCAGTTCTTGGACCTGTGCTATTTAACAGGTTTATAAATGACCTGGATGCAGACGTAGAAAGGATGCTGCAGACTTGTGGATGACTTGAATCTGAGACCGATCGCAAACACCATAGAAAACAGATTCGAATCTAGGCAGACCAACAAGGTGAACATCAACGTACACAGATGTATTGAACTTCATTGCAAAGCTGAGCAGAAACAAAAGATGGAGGCCTGGCTCGTGTGAAAAGGATCCAGGGGTCTTGACTGGCTGCAAAACTGAACACGAGCCAGCAGTGTGATGCATCTGCTAAAAAAGCGAATGTGATCTTAGGTAAAGGTAAAGGGACCCCTGACCATTAGGTCCAGTTGTGACCGACTCTGGGGTTGCAGCGCTCATCTCGCTTTATTGGCCGAGGGAGCCGGCATACAGCTTCCAGGTCATGTGGCTAGCATGACTAAGCCATTTCTGGCAAACCAGAGCAGCACACAGAAACGCCGTTTACCTTCCCGCCGGAGCGGTACCTATTTATCTACTTGCACTTTGAGGTGCTTTCAAACTGCTAGGTGGGCAGGAGCAGGGACCGAGCAACGGGAACTCACCCCGTCACGTGGATTCGAACCGCCGACCTTCTGATCAGCAAGTCCTAGACTCTGTGGTTTAACCCACAGTGCCACCGGCTGCATTAAAAGAAACATCATCATGGGAAGTAATACTTTCAGTCTATTCTGTGCTGGTCAAGACTTATCTGGAATGTCACTCCCAGTTCCAGCACATTTTAAGCATTCAGTATTTCTGTCATTCATTTTTATCTGTGTACTGCTGTGCAAGACTCACGTAAATAAGTATTGAGAGACAGTGTGAAGTAGTGGTTAGAGCGTTGGCCTAAGATCTAGGAGACTAGAATTCAGATACCCCAGTCAGCCATGAAGCTCACCGGATTACCTATTTATTTCAACAATTTGTAAACCACTTGATCCCAGTCATCTCTAAGCAGCGTACAAGAGATCCAACACAGTAAGACTAAAAAATGTGTTACAACTGTAAAATCACAAAGTTCAATTAAAAAACCTGCAAGGTGGTTGTGTAGATAATTTGGGAGGAGGAAAATCATGCATACCACCTTGAGCTCCTCGGAGGAAAGATGGCGGGGGAATGTAAAATTTATTAATTAGTTATTACTTTTTTCTTTTTTTTAAAGCAAGGCTTTTGCAGAAGAACGTCCAAAAGGAATCTGCCCTAAGTCACAGTACATTGTACAGATTTGGATTCACACAACGGGTTTTGAAGATCCCTGTCATTAAGTTAGAATCACTGGACTGGAAATGAGTAAAGAAAACCTCAGAAAGGTTACTGGACTGCAAAAAGAGTTGCCCACCTGCTTACAGTGCTCACTCATAGCCTAAAAGGAAGAGAAGGCTTCAAAATATCTTCCTGCCTGATCGCCCAGAGCACCACAGGCAGCTAAGCAAAACTATTTACCACCCTAAGGTAGTTCCTTCCTCTCTCTCATCCTCTGACTCACTCCCACAAAGCACACAGCGCAAGTAGAAAGCACAGAACCTTGGCGCTTCAAGATTGCACAGCTCTAGATAACTCAAGCAAGTGAGCCAGTTCATAGGGACAAGAGATGATCGTGGGTTTGGGGGTAGGGGAAAGCAATGGCTGTTTTCTTTATGTGTCTTCACCGTGCTGTAAAATCCTTTTCCAGGTTCAACGGACTGTGTTTGCTATTCAACGGTTGGCATCAATGATCCAGTAACTTCAGCCTTGCATATCATTGTGGGTAAGTCCCCACCTATGGATTTTGTGCCCTGGGTGGCGTTTCCAGGGGAATGTCCACCAATTTTACACTGTTTCTGTATTTTCCGGTCATGTGTTTCCCCCTCCCAGACTGGGTACACATCAGAGACCATTCCACTGGTGGCATGATGGCACGAATACGTATTATGTAATATTGCTCTGTCAGACAGTCACAGAGAAGCATTCTTCATAAAATGTACAATTATTAGTTAACGCTGTTTCTGGCACCTGAATTCTGTGGGGTGTCCTGCCTTAATGTGTCAGTCAATGTAGAAACTTTTTCGGCATAGCTGTTAGCTATAATTTTAACTTTCCCGTGCCTGATGTTCACATGGCGACAAGTGATTGGCAGGCTGAGTGTGGTTTGCCCCCAAATGGCCGAATTAGTTCCACTGAGCAGTTGTTGTTCTCCACCACTCTCACAGACCCAAAGTGTCATGCAGCAAACACTCTCTTTATCTCTCAGTTCAGTTCTGGATTTGGGGATGCGAATAGCGCTGTGGTCTAAACCACTGAGCCTCTTGGGCTTGCCAATTGCAAGGTCGGCGGTTCGAATCCTGTAAACTCCCTTTGCTCTGTCCCAGCTCCTGCCAACCTAGCAGTTTGAAAGCATACCAGCGCAAGTAAATAAATAGGTACCGCAGTGGCGGGAAGGTAAAGGGCGTTTCCGTGCGCTCCATGCACCAGAAGCGGTTTAGTCCTGATGGCCACATGACCCAGAAAATTGGGCTGTAGACGAACACCGGCTCCCTCAGCCTGAAAGCAAGATGAGCGCCACAACCCCATAGTCGAATTTGACTGGACTTAACCGTCCAGGGGTCTTTTACCTTTTGCCTCAATGCTGGACTTTCAGACTGATGCAATTGCAGCCTCCCTTATAATCTGAATTGTCTCTTGTCGACAGGAGACACTCAGCCTCTCGATGTCTCTTCAGTGCATCACCACGACACGTTACTGAAATACTTTGTCTCCCTCTTGGGGTATGGTTTTTATGGCGATATATTAAAAGACAGCGAGGGGAAACGCTGGATGGGACCCGTCAGATACGACCTCTCAGGTAACCTTTCGTATTTCGTCCTTCTGTATGAACCTGCAGAGAACCAAGTTGCCAATAAAACCAGTATTTTTCTCTAAGGACAACCATTACTGAGCCAGCCTTGCTATAAAAAGGCTGTGAATGTTACCAGCCTGCAAAAATGTTTATGGGCTTCCTGAGGGCTGGCAAAGGAAAGGCAGAGGGGTTCATCCGTCTTTTAGCAGCCCACTTATGGGCACGGGGGCTCCCACCACATGGGGGACAGAAGGCGCCAGACCCTTCCTCTGCCAATCACTGCATGCGGTGCCATCTCCTACTGAAGCTGCCAGGCTAATGCTTAAATATACAACTGCATATGAGCCGAACGGTGGGAGAAGGAAGCAACAAGCTTGGGATGTCAAAAAAATCAATAAGAAGATGGCAGAGCGAGTGTCTCCGTGCACTTCTGCAAGAGAATTAGCAGAATGGACAGAAATAATTTGTGTTGGTTTATAAGACATCGTCGTTTCTTAATTCTCCTCACCCCCCAGGTTTCAAGACCTTTCTCTCTCATCATTACTACGAGGGAACAATATCCCTTCTACCAGCATCACACGCCGTGGGGTCTCCAAGAGATAAGAAGCACTGCAGAAGTGGGTAGGCTAAACTATATTGCATTCGGGTGTTGTTGTTTTTAGCACATCTGGCTCCCAGGTCCCACTGCAATGAGTTGTCAGGATGCTCCCAGCGGCTCCCAGCTGGTTGCCCAAGAAAGTACAGTGGTACCTTCTTGTTCTCAAACTTCATCCGTTCCGGAAGTCTGTTCCAAAACCAAAGCGTTCCAAAACCAAGGAACGCTTTCCCATAGGAAGTAATGCAAAATGGATTATTCCGTTCCAGACTTCTAAAAACAAGCCCCAGAACAGCAATTTAACATGAATTTTACTATCTAACGAGACCATTGATCCCTAAAATGAAAGCAATAAACAGTATACCTCAGTCACGCAATCAATCAGTCAGTAGCTGAACTGGGTTCCACACAGTCACAAAAACAAAAACGCAAAATAAATCGCAAAAACAGACAGATCTCAGCGTAACACTCAAATCGGAAGCGTAACTTTCAAAACGGAGCTTCTGAAAGAAGTTCACAAACTGGAACACTTACTTCCAGGTTTGCAGTGTTTGGGTTCCAAGTTGTTTGAGAACCAAGGCGTTTGAGAACCAAGGTACCACTGTATAAAGACAAGGAAAGGTTTCTTACCGTCCTTTTTTAGTTCATTCTTTACAGAGAGAGGCTATAGAACCCAGCCTCTTGGATAATTGGGTTGTCCCGAGTGAATCTCCATCCCATCCCCATCTCTCCCATTTCCTCATTCATCACTTCCACGGGTGCTGCTACGTGCCCTCTGTCTTTGAGCTCTTTGCTCTCCTACTTTTAAGGCTTGCCAGGTTCTGGGAGATGGAGGGCCTGGAATGTTTTCTAATGACACTGTGTCACCTGGGTGTTGTTCTGGCTCTCCCATGATTTCCCAGCTTTTCTTCCCCTCATCTACCTCTGAGCTGCGACCTTCCTCCAACCCGTGATTGCATGCACAATGTTGATGTTCACACCAGCCAGACCAGAAGGTGAAGAGGGAGGGAAGAAAATATGTCCTTTTGCTATGCCTGCTCCTGCAGCAAAGATTCCTGGGATCATTGCTGTCACATGATGGCAGCAGAGCTTGCTCAGGATCCAGAAGATCCCTTGCCGCCCCAGCTCCACCTTTTCTCATCGATACCCCCTGTTGGGAGGTGTTTTATTTTTGCAGGCTACTGTTGGCAGTAGCCCCTGCCCACAGTAGGAGCAGGGACATTGGGGTGCTCCACACTAGCGGACCTCAGGCACGGTTGGGACACCCTGAGGTCACCCAAATGCCCCTGTAGCACAGGGGTTGGCAAGGTTTACCAGCCATGGGCTGGATTACGCCCATGAAGATTGTACATGGGCCAGACTGGCGCAACGCGGCTCCGGAAATCGCTTCTGCGCAGAAGCGATTTCCGGCATCTGGACATGCGCAGACACGATTTCCGGTATCTGCGCATGCACAGATGTGATTGTTGGAAAAACGCCCAGGAAGGCCACCACCTTCCCAAGACATCGGGGCGTCTCTCCGGTGGTCACTCTCTGGCTGTAAATCTTCCTCAGTCCAGAGAGACCAGTGATAAGCGACCCCTCCCTCCTGAGAGGAGCACGCTCGTCTTCTGGCATCTCATTGCAGAAGAAAAAGACAAACAGTAGCTATAAACTACTTTATTTACAGTCCTTATATACAGAGAACCCACCAGCGTGTCTGCTCTCTCTCAGCAGCAGTACAGAACAACATCTCACACAGAAGTGAAAGTAACTTCTCTAGCCAGCGTGAGAGAACCAGTGTGGTGTAGTGGTTAAGAGCAGTGGACTCGTAATCTGGTGAACTGGGTTCGTGTCTCCGCTCCTCCACATGCAGCTGCTGGGTGACCTTGGGCCGGTCACACTTCTCTGAAGTCTCTCAGCCCCACTCACCTCACAGAGTGTTTGTTGTGGGGGAGGAAGGGAAAGGAGATTGTTAGCCGCTTTGAGACTCCTTCGGGTAGTGATAAAGCGGGATAACAAATCCAATCCAATCCAAACTAGCAGTACCCAAGAGTACTGAGACTTCCTGTCTCACGCTCTCAGACACTCACATGATATAAACAACCATAGTGCTGCTTGCTGAGCAGCTGGTGAGATAAAAATCCTAACAGTGATTTCTGGCGCCGCTCAGCGAGTCTCAGCACGCAGGGGACTCGCCGAGCGGGTGACTCAATCCAGGGACGGCTCGTGGGCCGGTAAGACGGTCTTTGTGGGCTGCATCCTGCCCATGGGCCTCACGTTGCTGACCCCTGCTCTAGCACAACAGATCATTTTCCGTGTCAGTTCACTGTGAAAGTCAACAAGAACAAAGCAGTAACGAGAGTCAACAGCTTTCTTTAACTCTTCAGAACTTGCAATGCTTTGGCTGCCAATTATTTCGGGTTTGGTTTTTTTAAAGAACCATTAAGAAAAAAGATAGGCATCCATTATAGCAGTGCAGGGCTTCAGCTAGAAATTTTGAAGCACGTGACAACTACAGTGGTACCTCGGGTTAAGAACTTAATTCATTCTGGAGGTCCGTTCTTAACCTGAAACTGTTCTTAACCTGAGGTACTACTTCAGCTAATGGGGCGTCCCGCTGCCGCCACACGATTTCTGTTCTCATCCTGAAGCAAAGTTCTTAACCTGAGGTACTGTTTCTGGGTTGGCGGAGTCTGTAACCTGAAGCATCTGTAACCTGAAGCGTTTGTAACCCGAGGTACCACTGTATTCCAAAGAGAGGCAATCAATTTCATTGTTTGCCTCCAAACAAAACCTCAAATATTTGGAAAACGTGGCTTCAGAACTCAAGATGACTCTGGTACAGAATTCAGAAAGGCTGCTCCAGAGGTTAGCTTGCTTCTCATTTAAATGACATATAAAATATTGCTTACAACACAGCCTGACATACTGCAGACAATCTGGCTAAACGAATGAAACATTAATGCCCGGTTCAGACTGCAGAGGGGAAAAAACGAGGCTCACTCTTCTTCTCCAGGTGCCACATTTGCAAGCAGAGTAAACAACAGCTGGAGATAGAGCAGAAGAAGAATGGGGGAGAGATTAAAGGTAATTTTATACTATATGGAAGACCAGACCCGGATGGTTAGCAGATTTGTTCATTTGGCCTCTTAATGCACTGGGTGATGTAGCAACAAATGCAAGGGCAAATTTGGTTGATTAGAGAAACTGAATTAAACCAGAAGCCCAGAAGAGACTCACATGGATTTCAGACCAGGTAAGCTTTCTTCAAAGTGATGCTTTTTTGCTTGTCATCATTTATGGATCATTCGGTATGAATGATGAGGGATGTGATGGAAGCTACAGGGCCCTGCAAACGAAATCTGCATTTCATATGTGAGTGCTTTTCTTTCTTCCTGTTTGCTCCACTGAAGTGTCCAACTTAGAATGGGTTGGACTTGCTTCTGAGCAGACATACCTAGGACGCCAGTTGTAGTTGTTTGAACATAGCTCCTATTGAAATCAAGGACTGAAGTCATGGCTAACTTGCTCCATTGGTTTTTATAGGACCAAATTGCAGATTATTATTATTATTATTATTATTATTATTATTATTTATACCCCGCCCTTCCCGGTTCAAAAACAGGGCTCAGGGCGGCTTACAACAAATTTAAAACACTTTTAAAAACTTAATTATAAAAGCAGCATAAAATACAGTATAAAAACATGAATAACAATAAAATTCAAAAATCAAAAATCAATTTGATAATCCCCAGGGCTAGCTGGCCGAATTGGTCCTACTTGGGCCAGCGAGGAGGCCAGGGGAGAATTAGCTGTGGGGTCTCAGAGCAGGTGATCTTCATAAAAGGGGAGAGGGAGGGATTGTTTGTTTGTTTGTTTGTTTATTGAATTTACATACTGCCCTATACCCAGAGGTCTCAGGGCGGTTCACAGATAAGATCAGCATAAAAACCACAATATATATAATCAAAATAAAATCAACAACCCAATAACACACACCCAAAAAAGAGCCACATTTTTAAAAGGCATAGGATGTCAATCAAGTCAACAAAAGGCCTGGTTAAAAAGGAACGTTTTTGCTTGGTGCCTAAAGGTGTTTCATGAAGGCGCCAGGTGAATCTCCCAAGCGAGAGCATTCCACAGACGGGGAGCCACAGCAGGGAAGGCCCTGTTCTCATGGTGCCACCCTACGGACCTCTCAAGGAGGGGGCACACGAAGGAAGGCCTCAGAAGATGATCTCAGGGTCCGGGTAGGTTCATATGGAAAGAGGCAGTCCTTTAGGTATTGCGATCCTGAGCTGTTTAAGGCTTTATAAGTCAAAACCAGCACTTTGAATTGGGCCCGGAAACTAATTGGTAGCCAGTGCAGTCGGACCAGGATCAGTATAATAGGCTCAAACCATCTTGCTCCAGTGAGCATCTTTGCCACTGAATTCTGCACCAGCTGAAGTTTCTGAACCATCTTCAGAGGCAGCTCTATGTATAAAGCATTGCAGTAATCTAACCTTGAGGTTCCCAGAGCATAGGCAACAGTAGTTAGGCTATCCCTGTCCAGATAGGGGTGTAGCTGGGCCACCAGCCGAAGCTGATGGAAGGCACTCTGGGCCACTGAGGCTGTCTGAGCCTCGAGCGACAGCAAGGGATCCAGGACCACCCCCAAGCTACGAACCTTCTCCTTCAGAGGAAGTGTAACCTCATCAAGAACAGGCAATCTCCCATCCATCCAGGCTGGGGAATCGCCCACTAACAGTGCCTCTGTCTTATCTGGGTTGGGCTTCAGTTTGTTGGCTCTCATCCAGTCCATTACCGAGGCATCCAGCTTAGTCTGGATGCAACCCAACATGTCCATTTCAAAGTACAGCCACAGACATACTAGAAGAGGATACCCCCAACCCCTGTTGTTCTAGCATCATAAAACTGACTTTGGCAGTACCTTCTATTTTCAAGTAGAGTTGCCACCCCTTTTTTTTTACAATGCAAAAACACTTACTGCTCTGCCTTCTTTTGCCTCTGGCCCCGTAACTTTTCTTCTAGAGCAATTCAGTCTCTAGGTAACGAGAGTGAATCAGGTGCCAACAGCTATAAAAGTGCTATAAAAAGCATTCTGATTCCTGCACATCCAAACCTTGTTGAAGATACAAGTCAACACACTGTCTTCTGTCTGACCTCACTTGCCAGTTAGTTTGCAGCCCCATTCCTAAGAACAAATATGCGCAGCCAGTTGGCCTTGTGGACAACCGGTATTTGAAAATGTGCAGTGTTTTTAACTTGGATAGCTTGCTAACGAAAGAACGTGTCATAAATTTGTGCCATAGTTTAATATTGCACACGTAAGAGATGCAATATCTTAAGGCGATGTCATAAGACACCTTTAGAAATCCAAATCGTCATGTTTGTTGCTCCCATCCCACTGCCTCTGTGCTAAATATACCTGTTTGCGTTTTGAAGGGGATGACGAAGGAGAATGGAAGGTCATCAGAGGAAAGTTTCTGGCCATCAACACCGCAAATATAAGTTGTGCCTGCCCACGGAGCCCGAAAGGCCTTGCACCAGCTGCTCACTTGGCAGACGGCTCTGCAGACCTCATTCTGGTTCGCAAATGCTCCCGATTCAATTTCCTAAGGTATCTCATCAGGCACACGAACCGGGATGACCAGGTGTGTATCTGCTGCGACGGATTGAAACGCGGGGTGACGTTCAATGCCGATCCTGCGCTCCCATTGCAAAAACACAAATGTAGATTGGGCATAATTTGAAAGAAGCTCCGATAGCAGCCTACGGGTTGTTTTTTGGGGGGTGGGGGAGAGGGAGGAGAAACACCAAGGATTTGGATTGGCTATGGCGTTAAAACCCTTTCCGGCAAAAGTGGAGTTGCCAGCTGCTCGCCTGAATTGGATTTCTGCGCCGCTAATTGGTCTGTGGCAAGGGGGAAAGTTTGGCAGGTGGAAGTTCTTGTAATGCGTTAGGAATCTCAAAAGTAGTGACTGGGGGAGCCAAGTGCTTTATTGATACTGACTGCACTATTGCAGAAGCTGGCCAGAGGAGAGAGCTGGCCAGATTTCCACTGCTGTATGAAATCGACCTTTCCCAGCAAGAAGCAAGCGGCCAAAGGGGTCATGGGTCCTACCTAGCCCTGCACAGCAGCGGTGAGGAAGCTGTGGTCCTTTGTATGTTGTCGGATTCTTGGCCATGCTAGCTGGAGTCTTGATGGGAGTCAGAAGTCCATCATCTGGCCTGAGCTGCTCATTTCTCAGGATCAGGCGCTTGAGTTTGCTGACCAGCTTGACTGCCCACCTGCTTGGCTCGCCTATCTTGGCTCAGATCCCTGTCTGGATAGTACATGTTTGCTGCAGCCTCCCAGCTCTGACAGTTCTTTTCTCCTTGCACTGATGCATATTGAACTACCTTGGGTTCCAGCCCCCTACAGCCGACAAATGAGTTTCAGAATCCACACCCCTCCCAAAAAAAATTACTATTATGTTTCCTCTTTTTAAAAGGCCAAATTCAAAACTGGTTAATAACATCGAAGGAAGACAGCCACTTACAAACAAGGCAGTTATTTGTTTCTCCATTGCTCTGTACTTTATGTATGATATATACTCCTTGGGGCAGGAGCCTGTTCTTGTTTTACTTAGCGTAAATCTGCAAAGTGCAACCATTTATGGCACTCTATAAATAATGATTTCAGCTCCCAGCGTTCCATTAGGCTCTAATAAACAGAATTCCACCCCCCACCCCCACCCAGAGCTGTACAATTGAAGGGATGGGTCTATTGATTTGATTTTTATTTGATATATTATATTTTTACGCTGCTTTTCGTTCAAGTGAATCCCAAAGCAGTTTACAGACAACAGATAACAATAACAGAAAATCACAGGTAAAGGTAAAGGATTCCTGGACGGTTAAGTCCACTGAATTTGACTACGGGGCTGTGGCGCTCATCTCACTTTCAGGCCAAGGGTTCGGGCGTTTGTCTGCAGCCAGATTTTCCAGGTCATGTGACCAGCATGACTAAACCGCTTCTGGTGCAATGGGACACCGTGATGGAAGCCAGAGCACATGGAAACACTGTTTATCTTCCCAAACATCACAAACGCTGTATAAATCATATAGAGCAATCAACAATTCACCAGAAAAACAATATATAAAACACTATTAACAAAGCAGCAACTAAAAAATATAAGCTGATCATCCCAATTGCAGCAAAAGTCATATATGATTCACAAACCAATACAGCATTTATAGGGACATGTGTGGCACTGTGGTCTAAACCACTGAGCCTCTTGGGCTTGCCAATCAGAAGGTCGGCAGTTCGAATCCCCGTGACGGAGTGAGCTCCCGTTGCTCTGTCCCAGCTCCTGCCAACCTATCATTTCGAAAGCACACCAGTGCGAGCAGATAAATAGGTGGTGGGAAGGTAAATGGTGTTTCTGTGTGCTCTGGTTTCCGTCACGGTGTCCCGTTGCACCAGAGGATGTTTAGTCATGCTGGCCACATGACCCAGAAAACTCTCTGTGCACGAACGCCGGCTCCCTCGGCCTGAAAGCGAGATGAACGACACAACCCCATAATCCCTTTAACTGGACCTAACTGTCCAGGGGTCCTTTACCTTTTACCTTACAGCATTTACAATCTATGGAACAATATTTGTATGAAACAATAAACTAAGCCCTGCAAAGTTCCTGCGCGCAGTCTCCACAGATAGACACAGACCTGATCCTCAGTGGCAGAGATCACCAGGGCTAGGGATCAAGTTATGATACGATACGATACGATATCTTTATTGTCATTGTCCCATACAGAATAATGAAAAGATCTACATAAGACATTCAAAAACCCCTAAAAACTCTGAAACCCCTTTTTAAAATACAATATACTCCCATAGAGACTCCTTATACTGTGTTTAAAACCAGAATTGCATTCGGGTAGAAACTGTTTCTCAGGGGGCTAGTCCTAGTCTTTATAACCCTTTACCTTCTTCCAGAAGGCAGAAGCTGAAAGAGATCATTTCCGGGGTGCGCACTATCCTGCACTATCTCTGCAGCTTTCTTATGACACCTGGAGGCATAGATTTGATCCAAGGTGGGAAGAGTGCACCCAATTATTCTCTCCGCAGTCTTCACAACCCTGGAGAGCATTGTTTTTTCCCTGGCACCTGATCCAGTGGCGTCCCTGAATACACAGTTCTCATGGGTTGGTTCTCCGTAAGTGAGCAGCTGCCATTCATTCCTAGCGGGGGAAAGCAGCAGACTGCATTTCGGAGATGGGCAGTGTGGAAGTGGGGGCACAACATCCCCACCAGCAACGCAACCGCAACTTTCACCACGAAGTGGATGGCAGCAACATCCCTTTTTAACTTTCTAAAGACAGCTCCAGGACTGCAGGAAAGGTGGCGATAATGTTCCTACCCCACCGCCAGGTCCAAAGCTGGGTTAGAAACTTGGAGAAGGGAATGCCAGATGGGAGGAATAATAATAATAATATAATAATAATAATTTATTATTTATACCCCGCCCATCTGGGGGCTTCCCCAGCCACTCTGGGCGGCTTCCAACAAAATATTAAAATACTGTAATACATCAAACATTCAAAGCTTCCCTAAAGATCCCTCAAATCCTTCTCAAAGTAGGTAGGTCATATTTGGTTTGGCAGCGAGGATACCAGACCAGGAGCAGGCTTTGAAAAAATGTTATCTCAACCTGCTTAGCATCTCACCATGCTGAAAATGTTTCTATTCCATCAGTCTTCTGCAGATAATTAAGAACACATCTTTCCACCACAGTTTGCTGATTTCCGATGTTAACTTTTCCATATGGTTTTCTTTCTAATTGTATAGTTTTCTGTATATTCTTTTAAAATAAATGGTGGTATATGAATATTCTTTTAAAATAAATGGTGGTATATGAATATTTTGTTATGAATAGATTTGATTCATTTCCTACATTATAGTTAAGAATGGGTGAAGGTGCATCTATTGAATATCAAGGAATAAAAGTTTACAGTGCCTCTTCCTGAGCTTGTCATAGGAGCCACTCAAACGCCATTCTAGGGACAGCCATACATTTTGCAATGTGCATTCCGTTTACTTTGCAGAGGGTCACTCTGTTTCCTGGATAGTGGGGGCAAGTCTCAGTATTTCACACTCAGTTTTCCACCTGTAAAATGGGAATAATTCTGACCTGCCTTATGGGATTTTTGAGGAGGACCCAGATCCTAGTTTGTTTGTAAATGACTAGCCACCCGCCATTGTTGACATCCAGCTGGTTCAACGTGGACCAGGTGAACACTGAAGGATAATAATAATAATAATAATAATAATAATAATAATAATAATAATAATTTATTTCTACCCCACCCATCTGGCTGGGTTTCCCCAGCCACTCTGGGCGGCTTCCAACAAAAGATTAAAAATACATTAAAAGATCAGTCATTAAAAACTTCCTTAAACAGGGCTGCCTTCAGATGTCTTCTAAATGTCAGATAGTTGTTTATTTCCTTGACATCTGTTGGGAGGGCGTTCCACAGGGCAGGTGCCACTACCGGGAAGGCCCTCTGCCTGGTTCCCTGTAACCTCACTTCTCGCAGTGAGGGAACCGCCAGAAGGCCCTTGGCGTTGGACCTCAGTGTTCGGGTTGCGCGATGGGGGTGAGCAGAATTGTCCCAATTTAGATGTGAAATCCGTGACCTGCATCTTTCTTTATGCTGAACTCTGGCTTGCTTTGAACTAACAGAAGCGGTTTGCTGAGTTTTAAGTCAACAAACGCAACAGATTGCCTCTTCTCCCTTCTCTGCAGTTTGACTTCAGCTTTGTGGAGGTTTATCGGATCAAGAAGTTTCAGTTCACATCGAAACATTTAGAGGACGGTGACTGCGATGCCAAGAAAATGCAGAAGAATCGCTTCGGCCATTTCTGCAGAGACCACCCTGCTTGCTGCTGCCTTCCTCCCAGCAGCACCTGGAACTGCGACGGAGAGACGCTGGATTGTTCAACAATTGAAGTCATGTGAGCATCTTCCTTTCCGGGGAAAAAAGGATCTGTGCTTTTAAAAATGCAACAGTTTCACTCGTTCCTTAATTGATGGGAACTGCAAAAAAATGGTCTCCACAGCAGATAAAAATCTGTTATTTGGCGCACACACAAAGCCGTACACGGGAAGTCTTGAAAATGAGAGGTCATAACATGCATGAATTTTCAGACCTGCTTCTGTGCTGAATAGCAACTTCCGGTGTTGGGGAGAATAATAATAATAATAATAATAATAATAATAATAATAATAATTTATTATTTGTACCCCGCCCATCTGGCTGGGTTTCCCCAGCCACTCAGGGCACCTTCTACAGAGACCAAAAATACACATAAATGTCACACATTAAAAACTTCCCTGAACAGGGCTGCCTTAAGATGTCTTCTGAATGTCAGGTAGTTGTTTATCGCTTTGACATCTGATGGGAGGTCGTTCCACAGGGCGGGTGCCACTACCAAGAAGGCCCTCTGCCTGGTTCGCTGTAGCTTTGCTTCTCGCAATGGCCCTCGGCACTGGACCTCAGTGTCTGGGCAGAACGATGGGGGTGGAGACGCTCCTTCAGGTATACTGGACCGAGGCCATTTAGGGCTTTAAAGGCCAACACCAACACTTTGAATTGTGCTCGGAAACGTACTGGGAGTCAATGTAGGTCTTTCAAGACCTGTGTTATATGGTCTCGGCGGCCGCCCCCAGTCATGAGTCGAGCTGCTGCATTCTGGATTAGTTGTAGTTTCTGTGTCACCTTCAAAGGTAGCCCCACGTAGAGCGCATTGCAGTAGGAAGGCAGAGTTACAGTTCATTGGCACCTCAGTGAGGGAGGAGGAAGTTAAAGCCCACTTCTCACAGTCTTTATCCTAATTCAGAGGACCCAGCAGCTGCTTTTACAGTTTCAAAATGGTACATGCAACCCCTCGCTGCATGTTTAGCATCACACATAGTTTGGCCCTATGTCTTGAGGAATATAAAGACTAGTCGAGTGGATGTTCAGTTAATGAGTCCTGATGTATGTTTGTGGGAACTGACCCCAAATTTGGCTGGACTGTGGCCAAAATGTTTTGTTTTCTTTCATAGTTCTGCAGAAATCTGTAAGCGGTTTGTAATTCCCAACCAAAAGGGAATCAGTGGAAGAAATGTAATGCAATATTCCACATTCCAAACTGAACAATACAGTGGTGCCTCGCAAGACGAAATTAATCCGTTCCGCAAGAGTCTTCGTCTAGCGGTTTTTTCGTCTTGCGAAGCAAGCCCATTGACGGATTAGCGCTATTAGCGCTATCAGCTGTTTAGCGGCTATTAAAGGCTTAAAGGCTTAATTAGCTGCTAAAAGGCTCTTAAAGGCTATTAAAGGCGTAGCAGATTAGATAAAGGGGGGGAAAAGCGAAAAAAATCTCTAGACTCGCAAGGTATTTTCGTCTTGCGAAGCAAGCCCATAGGGGAATTCGTCCTGCGAAGCAACTTCAAAACGGAAAACCCTTTCGTCTAGCGGTTTTTCCGTCTTGCGAGGCATTCGTCTTGCGGGGCACCACTGTACTCGAATCGTACCTTGGTTCTCAGACGGAATCATTTCCGGAAGTCCATTTGACTTCTGAAAACATTTGAAAACCAAGGCACAGTTTCCTATTGGCTGCAGCACCTTCCTGCCTTCAATCGGAAGCCGTGTCGGACATTAGACTTCCCAAAAATGTTTGCAAACTGGAACGCTCACTTCCAGCTTTGTGGAGTTTGGGAGCCAAAATGTTCAAGTCACAAGGCGTTCGAGTACAACTGTACTAATAATAGCAACCATAATGCCACATTTTAAGTAACATAATTAAATATCTCTGAAAAAAATCCACAACAGCCCAGGTCATTTATTCCCTGCCTCTCATCTAGGGAACACGAGCTCTTCACCACCAATATGACAAGGCAACCATGACTTTCTCTGACTTTCTCTGGGGTGCCATTGTGAACAACCAGTTCCCCTGGAAGAGCAAAGGGGTTTGCTCCTCTTGATGACGGGCCTAGTTCACAATTAATACATCTGCATTTATTCCGCACTTGTCTTCCCTTTTGCAGGGTCCACTGCCAACTCATGAAACTGTTTGCAAGAGGAATAGAGAGGAACTCCACACTTGAAGTAATTCAGAGGCAGCTCTGCTGAGCAAGTTAGCCGAAGCCCGTTCTCCATAAAACAAAACGAAAAGCAAGCAACGGAAGGCAACCGCCTGGACGAACAAGCGTCTCAGGCCCGTCAATAAACGTTTTAAAGCCGAAGACGTTTTTGTGGTAAAAGAATCCATTTTGGTAATATGCATTCTCTGCGAATGCCTTCGAAGATTTTAGACTTAATGCACGTCAGGCTACTGTTTTGTGAAGAAAGCGAGGCTGTGTACACATCACCTCAAGCAGAGGCGCCAACTTGCGCCCAAAATTGAGGGGGCCCAGTGTGCTTGTGACATCATGCATGCATGTGACATCGCACCGGCAGGAGGAGGTCGAGTGCGGAGCCCAACAGGGTGCAGCTTCAGTGACTGGCAGCTCCTCTGGAGCCGGCCACTGAAGGCATGCCACTCTTGGCTCCGTGCTCGACCCCACAGATATTTTTTTGGGGGTGAATAAACCTTGGCCCCACAGAGTTGGCACCAGGGACCTCAAACCAGCTTCCCCCTGATTTGAAAACACAAGCCAAGGTTAAGCTGAGGTGCGTCCACTTCCGATAGCTGTTGTGCACATGCCGGCAGCTTCCTCGACTAGGACTCAAACCAGGAAATGAGCACCCCAAACCCCTCTCTGGTCTGTACATTTGCAAATGTGACAGCAGGGACGAATGACCTCACTGCATTTTAAGCCGCTATGCGTACATAGACTTGAATATTTGATACAAAGCAGGGCAAGCGTAGCTTGTCAGAGGCCCCAGGGCAGGAGTCCTGCTAGAATAAAGTTACTCAACCCAAACAAAAAAGCAGCCGGTCCCTAGCAGAGCCCCTTGGCCAGCTTAGATCTCCGAGGCCTGGGGCAAGTGTATCTGGCTGGGGCCCCCTCTGCGTGGGCCTGGAGGGAGCAAATGGCTTGCATTTTCATGCTTTATTTTCGCCCTTCCTCCTGTGACTATGCTCCAATAACAACTAGGCAGTAATTCAGCCTTATTAGCTTGCTGCCCCCTGGTACCACCACCACCACCACTCCAAAAATATCAGACTGCTAAGAGGATGGTATCGTGCATCTCCATACTGGCCAGAAAGGCATAGTCGTTTATTTTGTAGCCAGCATGAAAATACAGGATGCCAGCCACATAGCAGGCTAGTGTTAAAGTGGGAAAGGATCCTTCTAGGAAGTGGAAGACGGATGGAGTGAGGCATCCTCCCCTCTGCCAGACCCCTGCATTTTCAAGCTAGCTATGTATGTAGGGACGCAGGTGGCGCTGTGGTCTAAACCACAGAGCCTAGGGCTTGCCGATCAGAAGGTCGGCGGTTTGAATCCCCGCCACGGGGTGAGCTCCCGTTCCTCAGTCCCTGCTCCTGCCAACCTAGCAGTTCGAAAGCACATCAAAGTGCAAGTAGATAAATAGGTACCACTCCAGCGGGAAGGTAAACAGCATTTCCGTGCGCTGCTCTGGTTCCCCAGAAGCAGCTTAGTCGTGCTGGCCACATAACCCGGAAGCTGTACGCCGGCTCCCTCGGCCAATAAAGTGAGATGAGCACCGCAACCCCAGAGTCGACCATGACTGGACCTAATGGTCAGGGGTCCCTTTACCTTTACCTTTATTTATGAAGCAATTTTCCTTCCCATGTACAGAAATCAAGTGGACCAGTAGAGGAGGAACTGTTCCTCCTGCAGCAAGCTAACTCACTTGCATGGAGTTCCTTGTTGCTTATGGCTGCCAGGCAATGGAGCGGGTTGGCTTAGCCAGCCACCATCGGCTCTCACCGGCTGCTGCCAGTTTAGTGAGCGCCCCCTTCTGCCTACAGCAGGACCCCCGTTAACAGCATCAGCAGGTCTTCCCAGGGGCACAGCCGAGCTCTTACGGACCAGCTCCAGGCTGGCATAGCAATCTGCCTGCCTCCAACCCAGCCCCATCAGGGCTGCAGATATGGCAGTGCCCCTGACGCTCCATAAAGCCCCACTGGGCTGCCAGCTAGGACTATTCCCTCCGTTGTTAAGTGCAAAGTTGGCCGGGATGTCGTTTTGCACCACTGGTGCCCTTGTGCAAATACCGTATTTTTCGCTCCATAGGGCGCACCGGACCATAGGGCGTAACTAGTTTTTAGGGGGGAAATAAAGGGGGGGAAATTATTCTCCCCCCCCCAGCCCCAAAGAGCAAAGAAGCCAAGACAGCTAGTGGGATCCCGCTCGCTGTCTTGGCTTCGTTTTTAGCCGCGGGGCTGGGGCGGGGGAAGCCTGTGTTCGAAACGACCAGCTGAATTACGATGGCTTTGTAGCTGGCATGTTGATTTAAAGGCTCCCTTGTATCAAAGTTCTCAGGCCGTCACTCACTCCAATTTTTCCCCTCCCCAAATTATAACTGAAACCCCTTTGTTGCGTGAGCGGAGCCACGCCTGCAACTTATCAATGCAATTCAAACACACAGACCTGGCTTCAAAGCAATAGGGTGTTGCGTAGAACACCTTTGCGTACAAAAACATACTGTGATGCCCTTCTGTACATCTCTAGGAGGGAATAAAGGATTGTCTGAAAGGGCTGTAAGGCCAGACAGCTGTTCCGCAGGGCCTGGGAGATGCTGAAAAGAGACAAAGTGGAAGTAACTGACACAAGACACCAGCAGATTGTCCGCTTGTAAAACGTGCTTTAAATGAAAACAAAATAGCTTGGGTCTTCATTTTCTTTCCATGAATGCAACAGAGTTCATGCACACAGGACATGGTTTCCCTTTTCTCTGCAGTCCCTGGAGGCTGGGTCACCCTTGGGACTGGTAGAGGATTTGGTTTAGTGGACTGCAGGTGGAAGGGAGAGTTGGCAGAAATATCCCCCCGTCCTCCCCTTACATGATTGGAGGAACAACTTAGGATCATGGCCAACGACTCCTTAGAATCATCAAATTCTAGAGTTGGAAAGGTTCATCTAGTCTCTTGCCTGCAGTGCAGAAATACGCAGCTGCCTCATATGGGGATCGAACCTGTAACCTTGGCATTGCCAGCACCACACTCTAACCAACTGAGCTATCCAGACTCCTTGGTTGAAGCCAGTTTGCACAATCAGAAGAATCAAGTGAAGTAATCATTCTTTGATGTGGCTTGATTTTTTTAAAAAAACTGCTTAGACCTATACTGAACCAAATTTGCTGGGTTTGTTTTTAATTGTTTGGCTTTTGGACTGGTTCTGTATTATTGGTAAAGCGCTTCGGTATCCTCGTTAATGATTGGCAGCCTACAGATACTTTAGAAATATCAACCATTTCAGATCGCTGGTAGGTTAGCAGGAGGTCTCCAGTGTCCCGTGGGGAAGGGGGACGTGTTTGCAGACTCTTGTGCTAAGGTGGGTCTGCACGACTTGTGAACCTTCCCAGCTGAACGCAACACGCCAGCCTTAGAATGGTAGAGTCAGAAGGGACCCAAGGCTCATCCAGCCCCAGCCATGCACGGATCCTGCCCACAGCCATTCCTGGGTGGGCTCATCCCACCAACCTTCTGGTTAAAAACCAGATGTGTTGACCCATCGAACGACTGGGAGTTCAGGGGCAAACCATTGTGAGAAATCATCACTGTTCCAAAGAACAGGTAATGTAGAGCAGGGTTGCCACTTCCCGTGGGTCAAGTTTGGAGCCCCTGCCAGGTGTCATTGGTGGCATCAGATGACTCAATCCCGCACCACACCTGATGCCATTTATTACGTAAATAAAGGGGAGGGTTAGCTGGACGTACCTTGGGCCAAAGCAGTCTTGCAGGTCAAATGGTATCAGGTCTGAAATGGTCCACAGGCTAGAGCATGGGTAGGCAAACGAAGGCCCGGGGGCTGGATCCGGCCCAATTGCCTTCTCAATCCGGCCCGCGGACGGTCCAGGAATCAGCGTGTTTTTACATGAATAGAATGTGTCCTTTTATTTAAAATGCATCTCTGGGTTATTTGTGGGGCCTGCCTGGTGTTTTTACATGAGTAGAATGTGTGCTTTTTATTTAAAATGCATCCCTGGGTTATTTGTGGGGCATAGGAATTCATTCATTCCCCCCCCCTTCAGAATATAGTCCGGCCCCCCACAAGGTCTGAGGGACAGTGGCCCGGCCCCCTGCTGAAAATGTTTGCTGACCCCTAGGCTAGAGGATCCTCACTGCTGGTGTCGAATAAACGCAGTGTTGCGCAAGTGACTGCTGAGAATTAGAAAACCCAGCTCAGTCCCTGCAAGTTAGGCTAAAAATTCAACATCTTGAGAATCAAGCGTGTTGCTTCAAACTGCTGTATATCTGAGTAGCTTCATATGTTAACAAAAGCACAGTCTTTTAATGGGGTGCATTCCATGTTAGGAAGAGAACTCTGTACCTGTAGCTGATGATCCTATGCATGCTTCCTAGGCAATAAGCCCCGCTGGATACTTTGAGGGTCGCTGCCTAGTAAATGAGCAAAGACTGGGTTGCATCTGACTGTTTAAGATGGAGTTAAAAAACTAGAACGTTGCAACATGATCATTGTTGATGTGGGACGACGACTCCATGTTAGCTTGTGGGGCCTTGTTTTTTCTTTATATCAATCTTGCTGGTTTCAGGATTGAAAAGCAACGTTTTGTTCTTGAGTGATGGAAATAAACTCTTCTGAAAATAAACAGCTATGTGGCAGACGTTGTGCGTGCTTTTCTGTTTGGTGTTTAAGTTTCTCTGTTAAGGTGATGGACAGCCTTTTCCCAGAATTCTCTCCCAGCTCAGTGATGTTGTTGCTGCTGTTATATTCCAGACCTTAAGAAAAGGGGAAAAAACCCAAACATTATAAAGCAAATACTTACTACCGTTCCAAAAATGAACATGGAAGCCAAATGACAGTGGAGACATAATTGATCAAAAGAAGTAGGAAAGAAAAGGAGATTGTATCACAAATAATTTATGCATTCCCATAAGTTAACGCAAAAAAACCAAAGTGATATAGAAAATTAGGTTTAAGAGTTTCTAGAGTTTATCTGATGTATTGATTCATAGAAAATTATTTCTCATATTGCTTAGACATTATTATGTTGAGATTTGTTATTCAGTATTTTATGAACAGCTCTTTGAGCATTTAGTGCACATTCCCATAACTTTTTATCATACATGATATTATGTATATGCACCCTCTGTCAAACAGCTAAGATCCATTCCCTCATAGATGGGAATTTCCTTTTCCCAGCGTTTAGCAACTAATATATGAGTTGCTACCAAATAATTTCTCAATATCCTTGGGATTATTATTTTGCCCAGTCCAAAAGAGGAAAGGGGGGTAAAAACCCAGAGGATCTAATTTTAATTTGGAAGTGTGGATTCCTTCATTTATTTTATTGATTTAGATATTGTCCCAAAGTATCTCTTTATATTTACATTCCCACCAAATGTGTCCAAAACTCTTGTCCACTGGAATGGTGTACTGTGACTGTTGCATTCTGCCCTACTTCAGATAGATACAGTGGTACCTCGGGTTACATACGCTTCAGGTTACAGACTCCGCTAACCCAGAAATAGTGCTTCAGGTTAAGAACTTTGCTTCAGGATGAGAACAGAAATTGTGCTCCGGCGGCACGGTGGCAGCAGGAGGCCCTATTAGCTAAAGTGGTGCTTCAGGTTAAGAACTGTTTCAGGTTAAGTACGGACCTCCGGAACAAACTAAGTACTTAACCTGAGGTACCACTGTAGATAGATAGATAGATAGATAGATAGATAGACGGACAGACAGACAGACAGACATGTATATGGTCAAATGTAGCTTTGGCAGATAGCATGTGACTCTTTCCAGACTGGGCTAGAGTATTGTAAATAAACAATCTTTAGTTAAATATTATGTGAAGTATATAACCCTCAGCCCATTTGCTAGTTTTCCCTGTTTATGTCTACTGAGCATCGAAAGTAAAGGTTTTAAGTATTGCCTAGGAACTGAAAGGATTCAAATCAGAAGAAAAATGCATAAACATCCATAATTTTGGAGTCTGCAGTGTGGAATGATTTGAAGGCGTTGAAAGCCTCAGCCAACAAAGTAAATTATAAATTCTACAGGGTGTACAAAACCTGCAGTACTTTGAGGTTAGCAAGTCAGCACTTAACCATTTTAGAGGAACATACGTTTTTGATTCATTAGACGTAGCAAGATATAATTTCTAGCGCCTGTATGTATGTATGTGGGGGGGGGGCCCTCAAATTTACACTGTGAGTTGAGGCCCTCACCTTTAAAAAATAAATAAATTACGGAGCGTAGATAAGAAATCCCAGAGGTCCAGTCAATGACAGAAAGCATACTATTTCCAAGCCACGTTCTGAAATGTGAGCCATCATTGTGTACAGCCCTATGTGTTTTGCCAGTTTTTAGATACAGTGGTACCTCAGGTTAAGTACTTAATTCGTTCCGGAGCTCCGTTCTTAACCTGAAACTGTTCTTAACCTGAAGCACCACTTTAGCTAATAGGGCCTCCTGCTGCCGCCGTGCCGCCGGAGCACGATTTCTGTTCTCATCCTGAAGCAAAATTCTTAACCTGAAGCACTATTTCTGGGTTAGCGCAGTCTGTAACCTGAAGCGTATGTAACCTGAGGTACCACTGTATTACATCAAGTTGCATTTACTTTCTGTTGCACTGTGCCTGGCTCAGAAGGGATGGACTCATCAATTATAGGTGCAGAGTTGTCGACATACAACACAGTCGCCTTGTAACTGCACAGAATTAGTTTCACCTCCACAAGTTGGAACTGTGAAGTCTACATATCGATCTGTACGTCCAGCCTCACCCTTCGCATCTTGACCTAAGAAATGTCCATGCTGCAGGGAAAACGGGCAAGGCAAATGCAGGGCAAGGTTCTGTTTTGTATTTGCTGACCCGGGCATTCTATGGGCCCTGCCTTAACAACTGAGCCCCGTGCTACCTTAAAGATTAGCACATTTGTTGTGCTGTGCACCTCGCACAGAAAAGAGCTTATTCCGTCGGATGCAGCCGCAGCCTGAAGGTTCCACAGCTGTGTCCAGAAAACCAGTACAGATCAAGGGTCCCCGTTGCTGTGCCAGCATAAATATATATCACGAGTCAGAGAGGTAAAAGTGGAGAGGAAGAGCAGATGAAAATGAATTGCTCTGCCATATTATATCACCGTCACGTTGTTTTTGAAAAGAGCCAGCCTCCAGCGAGAGGCTCGCACAAAGTCCCTGTTTTCATTGGAATAAAAGGCTGCGTGAACTAATAATAATAATAATAATAATAATTTATTTCCCCAGCCGCTCTGGGAGGCTTCCAACAAAAGATTAAAAATAGATTCAAACATCAGTCATTAAAAACTTCCCTAAACAGGGCTGCCTTCAGATGTCTTCTAAATGTCAGTTAGTTGTTTATCTCTTTGACATCTGATGGGAGGGCTTTCCACAGTGCGGGCGCCACTACCGAGAAGGCCCTCTGCCTGGTTCCCTGTAACCTCACTTCTTGCAGTGAGGGAACCACCAGAAGGCCCTCGGAGCTGGACCTCAGTGTCTGGTCTGAACAATGAGGGTGGAGACGCTCCTTCAAGTATACTGGGCTGAGGCCGTTTAGGGCTTTCAAGGTCAGCACCAACACTTTGAATTGTGCTCGGAAACGTACTGAGAGCCAAGGTAGGTCTTTCAAGACCGGCGTTATGTGGTCTTGGTGGCTGCTCCCAGTCACCAGTCTAGCTGCCGCATTCTGGATTAGTTGTAGTTTCCGGGTCACCTTCAATGGTAGCCCCACGTAGAGCGCATTGCAGTAGTCCAAGGGGGAGATAAGTGGAGCAGATACGATTAGTGTCAGGCAAACATCAACAAAAGCAGCTAGCCCAACTGTTTAGGAGTGTATGTGCTGCGTTTACTTTAAATCTTTCCATTTCTTAATACTCTAGTAGAGTCCTGCTGGTTTAGACCAAAGGCTCTTCACATCCTGTTTCCAGCCAGAAGTTCAGAATCAGGGCATGAAGACACTTTCCTGCTGCCCACCAATTGGTATTCAGTTGTGTACTCTTCTTCCTCTAGGGCACAGATGGAGAAGCCATAGGCCTCCAGTGCCCATGATCCCTGACCATTGGCAATGTTGGCTTAGGGCAGTGATGGCCAAACTTTTCCCTCCAGCTGTTTTTGGACTACAACTCCCATCATCCCTAGCTAACAGGACCAATGTTCAGGGATGGTGGGAACTGTAGTCCAAAAACAGCTGGAGGGCCAAGTTTGGCCATCACTGGCTTAGGGGGACTGATGGGAGTTGGTCCAACTCTCATTGAAATTCTACTCAATATGATCCAGAGCAGAACTCCGACGTATAGTTAGCAGAGTAAAAACTTAAAACACATTGCAGGATTCCCAAAATATAGACCAGAGGCAATGAATATTTCATCCAGCAGAGCTTTACTGCTACCGAGGGCAAATGAGCATAATGGTTACAAATCCAATACATTCAGGATTGGCACAATCCATAACAAATTCAGTTGCAGCAGACTTCACTTAAACTTACAAAAACTTATAGTAAGTCTAAACCTTAACAATGTAGCATACTATGTGCAGAACACCACACCAGAAGGAAGAGGGATAGAAAGAGAATGTAAAACCCACCCTCCTTCTGGCCCTACTTTTATAGTCAGCATGGGTTTGACAGAAAGAGATAACAGAACCAGCTTAAGCCAGCTGTGCTCAGATTCTCTGAAGGAATAACCCAAACATCATGAACCTTCTGCTTGTTTCTTTCACACCGAGAAGCTTCCAGAACCCTCTTGAGTTAAGTAGAATAGGAGAGATCTCTACACATCAGATCAATACTTTCTGCACTAAGAAATGCAAACTGACGCCAACAGCATCTGGAAAACCGTTAGTCCCCATCCCTGCTCTAGAAAAGTTCAGTTTCATTTCCAAGTTTAGTCCTATCCTCCATGTGTTTAAAAGGTAAAGGGACCCCTGACCATTAGGTCCAGTCATGGCCGACTCTGGGGTTGCGGCGCTCATCTCGCTTTATTGGCCGAGGGAGCCGGCGTACAGCTTGCATATCCAGCAGTTGGATCTAGCCAGCCATAGGAGGTACTGGCAGGTCCACTGGTGCCCAGAAGAACCACATTTGCAACCCCTGCGGTCCTTTAACGGGAACAGTGTGCTTTGTTACAAATGTTGGTCACCACCTGCACTCTCTGCCAAGTGTTAGCAAGATTCCAGGGGGTTCCAGACACTCACCCAGGGCCTGTGCTCCTTTGGAGAACTGAAGAAGTGGCGGAGACTGTCGTAGCTTTAATAATAATAATAATAATAATAATAATAATAATAATTTTTATTTATACCCCACCCTCCCTGGCTAGACCCAGGCTCAGGGTGGCTAACACCAGTAAAATTACAGTAAAAACATAAGGGGGGACGACGACCAATTTAAAATACAGGTTAAAATGCAATTTGAAATGCAGCCTCATTTTAAAAGTAGCCCATAGATCAAAAACCATAAGGGGAGGGAAACATCAGGGTCAGACTGAGTCCAAACCAAAGGCCAGGCAGAACAGCTCTGTCTTGCAGGCCCTGTGGAAAGATGTCAAGTCCCGCAGGGCCCTAGTCTCTTGTGACAGAGCGTTCCACCAAGTCGGGGCCAGTACTGAAAAGGCCCTGGCCCTAGTTGAGACCAATCTTGTGACTTGGGACTTCCAAAGTGTTGTC